GCAGACATATTATGTTAAACTTGTGCCTGTAAAAGCTGTTTTATTCAGTTAGGATAGTACTTTCCTTTCATACACGTTATGTGTTTTAGCCTTTTAGGATAGCTAATACTTCCTCTATCTACTTTTGATAGTCATATTTCATCTTTGCACATAGACCAAGGATAAGTAATTCTACTTATCATCTATTTAAACATGCTACTAGTCATTCCTCGTAAATAAACGATTCATTAATATTTACATTTTTCAATGCTCATGTAGCCAATCATGTGTGGAAGAATGGAGAGTCGTGCATTAAATCCGAGAAAGTTATTAAGATGATAGGTTGTTGGATTGAAATATGTCTATCAAAAATAAAATTTTCAGATTTGGAAATATCACTATCAAAAGTAGATGGAGGGAGTATTATTACTTCTAGTACTAGAACACATGCAGCAAATCTTAGCCGATTGCATGCTACTGAGCTACTCGATCGCTCATGGATCGATTGAGACGCCAGAGCTACACCTTGGTGTCCGCCTTGCCGCTGGTCGTCGAGTCATCGGCGCTGCCGCCGTCGGCGACCTTGTTGTTCCTCCCCTCGGCCATCTCCACGTCGTCGTCGCCGGCCTGCTTGCCGCGGTTGCCGCGGCGGCGGCGGCGGCGAGGAGGAAGACGAAGATGCAGGCGGTGACGGCGGAGGAGGAAGACGAAGATGCCGGCGGTGGCGGCGCGCTGGGGGTGGTGTCGGTGTGGGGGATGGTCCCGTCGCCTCGCCTCGCCTCCTTCCCCCTGCGCACATGAAGAAGAGAGGACGATGAATATGAGAGAGAAGGGAGGGGGAAGAAGGGAGGAGTAGCTGACATGTGGGGCCACCATTTTAAAATTATTATTTTTAGCTGACATGTGGGTCCCATGTTTTTTATTATTTTTTCGAGATATAATTGCCACGTAAGCGCCATGTCAATGCCACGTGGGACGAATATCTAGTCAAACAAGCCACGTAGGGGCCACATCAGCCAAAACCACCTTCAAAACCGCTGAGGGACCTCGTCTGCACGGTTTTTGTAAGTTGGGGGACGGGTCATACCCGGTTTTGCGGTCAAGGGACGAAAATCGGACTGGGTGACAAATAGAGGGACTCAAAGTGAACTTATTCCAAAGAATTCACCAGCTCCAGCTCGTTCGTTTCGGACTCAAGTCGTGTCGCCTCGCCGCGTGCCTACATAAAGCAAACCAGACCGCAACTGCGTACGTCTCGTCGAACACTCGAACCATAGTAGCAGTACGTCGTCGTTCGCCAACAAATACATGGATGCGAGGGAGTCGTTCGCCAAGTAGCTGCAGGCGAAGCTGTCCGATTCGCCGAGCGGCTCGCTGCTGCTGCGCTGCAACCTGCTCCACCTCGCGACGACCAGGCAGCTGATCGCCTCGTTGAGAGCCATCTACGATACGCTCGAGGAGTTCGTCGACGCCGGCTTCATCCCGCTCCACTCCGACGACTTCTTGGAGATGATCCGCGACATCCGGGACGCCGGAGAAACCTTGGCCGCTGACTCGCTGGACCAGATCGACGCCAGCCTCGCGGCGCTATTTGCATCCTTGCCTCCGGAGGACGATGACAATGGCGGCGGCGCCGGTGAGGAAGGCATCGGCGGCGAAGACACGAGTCACGGGACACAACTCCAGATCAGCTGCCGCCTCTAGTTTTAAGAATTTTTGTTTTGACATCATATCACAATGTACTGAATAAAAAGAGTTTGCTTTTTCCCAAATTAAGTTCCAAAGTCCGTAGCTAATTTATGCAGCTAATTATTTATGCGGAGAAAATAAAGATATGGACTAATTTTGGTGTGAACAACATCATCATATCCTAATTGTCCTGCATAATTGGCCACGGATTACACACTTCATGTATTATTATTCTACCATGCGTGGAATAATGGCGTGGCACTCACAGAAGGTGTCGAGGACACCATAACTTGGCGGTGGACGGCAAATGAAAAGTACAGCGCAAAGTCATTCTACATAGCGCAGTTTAATGGTAGAATAAGCTCTGCAGCTGTAAAACTGATTTGGAAGCAATGGGCACCTTCCAAATGCAAACACTTTACATGGCTTCTATTGCAAAATAGAGTTTGGACAATAGATAGGCTACAAATCAGACAATGGCCAAACAACTATTTCTGCCAACTATGCTATAGGAACCTTGAAACCGCCCAACATCTTTTTAAAGATTGCGCTTTTGTGTGCCATATCTGGGAGAGGGTCCTGAGTATACTGAACTGCAACGATATAGAACACCAATACGATGAAAACGAAGTACTGTTGGAATGGTGGATCAGAAGGAGGCAAAAGCAAGGCCAAAGCACTCAAATCAATCCACATGTTGGTGGTATGGGAAGTATGGTGTGAACGGAACAGGAGGGTTTTTCAAAATCAAGAGAAAACCATGCCGCAACTACTCGCCAAAATACAAGACGAAATCAAACTTTGGAGTATGTGTGGGGCAAAAAAAACATCACGAGAATATCCACTTAGGTCTCCCTTTTAGGTTTTCCTTGTTGCTTTTCTTCTTTATTTCCCCTGTTCTGTCTCTTTCACCTTTCCTGGTGATATTGTAAATACTTTCTATTTTCCTTAATATAACTCCAACTTTGCCTGGCTTCGATTTAAAAAAAAAAACTATACCTACTTAACTATCATGGAAGTCCATATTGCCGTGTGCATCTTCTTGTAGTTTTCTAACAATCGATAACTTTTACGGTACTGTTTGTATTTCAAAATGGGTAAAAGCTGTCCTAACGGTAGGACGACAGTTTGTACTTTGGGGAAGAAGAAAACAGATAGTATGTTTGACGCAATCACAGTTACAGAGCGATCACACGAAAGAAATCCAACCTACACATTCTACAGTCAACTATATATGATGGATAAGAGGATCTGAACCCGTCCTTTCTGTGAGACAGTACACGAACATGTTAAGGAGGAGTTGCCTGATGGATTTGTTTCTGACCTTATATCTACCATCTATGTAAAAGAATATCCAATTCTCGTGCCATTCTTCTTCTTTTTTCCGTCTCGTATCATTCGATCTGACGCAGCGAAAGTTTCTGAAGAGATGGATGAAGTGGGTAAAATATGCTAGTTCTGTCTTCCTCTAGTGGTCATTAGCATCTGCGTGTCTCGGTACTTCATCAGCTGCTAAATCCTACCTCCGTTTTTTAATAGATGACGCCGTTGACTTTTTCTCACATGTTTGACCATTCGTCTTATTCAAAAAATTTACGTAATTATACTTTATTTTGTTATGAGTTGTTTTATCACTCATAGTACTTTAAGTGTGATTTATATCTTATATATTTGTATAAAATTTTTGAATAAGACGAATGGTCAAACGTGTGAGAAAAAGTCAACGGCGTCATCTATTAAAAATGGAGGGAGTATTCTTTAAGCAGTTTTGTTATTGAGAGATACCATCATACGAATCAAAACTTGTTCTATCGTTGAGGGACACAAAGTAGACCATCTCATTTCGTTTTCCTTTTCCCTTCTGAAACTGGCCCATTAAACATCAAGAAACCAAATCCGACCTTCAAGCTCGACTCGGCCCAGTACATGGTACAGGTCTCTCTCTCTCTCTTTTTTTTTTTTTTCCCTTTCCTTTTCTTTTAGAATTCCTTTCGGACTCCGGAGTCCGGGTCCGATTCGTCCGAATATATCACCACACCACGCTACGTCTCAATCTCATCGATCGACCCCTCGAACCAACCACCGTATCAGCCATCGCCATCGTCGTAGTCACGGTCTCATGGACACACGCACACGCACGAGCTGACGAGCAGCTACAAGGTCGCCATGGATGAGAGGGAGGCGTCGGCGGCGCGGTCGTCAGTGCAGCTGTCGGAGTTGCCAGACCCGGAGACCAGCCGCATCCGCGTGGAGGAGACCAAGCAGCTGGTCGCCGATATGCAAAGCATCATCGAGGCGCTGCTGGTGTTCGTCGACGCCGGCTGCTCTCCCGTCCCCGTCGACGAGATCCACGAGATGATCCGCCACATGAGGGAGGTTGGATGCCCCTTGGTCCGCCGCTCGCTCGATCAGATACGCAGGGACACTGAGGCGCTACTAGCGGCGGCGGCGGCCCTCGAGCCTCGACCATGATAATGGCGGCGGCGGCGGTGATGAAGGCATCGGCCTCCGGCAGCAGCAGAACGCTGCTCAACCTCAGCCACGCTTGTAACCAACTACTGAAGGGATTGATTTTTTTTTGGGTTCAGTTTTGATGTAAAATTTACTAGCTTAGTCCTATGTACTTATGTTGGGACAAATAGAGGGAAAAAAGTATACAGGCAGTGCCTGATGAATTGATTTACGATTGGACAAATAGAGTGAAAAAAGTATACGACCATGAATAATGGCAGCAGCAGGGGCGGCGGCGGCGGCGACGAAGCCATCAGTATTCGGCTGGAGCAGCACAATACTACTCAATTTCAGCCACGCATATAATCGATTTCTGAAGGAATTAAACTAGGTTAGTAGTCCTATGTAGGAATAATTAGAGTGAATAAAAAGTATACAGGCAATGCCTGATATTGTGATATGTATTTGCAACTGGAGAATTGAGCATATGTATATTTCATTTCTAAACTGTGTGGATGATCAGTCGCATCATTTATCATACACACAATAACCGTGGAAACTACAGCAAATTAATTTCAGAACACAAAATTGTTCAGGCGCACATTCTACGTAGTTGGAAATTTCAGCAGTTTGTAAACTTCACGGCATAATGGCCAACACATAGTAACAGGAAAACAAAAAAGTTGACGGCTTTCTTTTTGGCTTCTGAGCATGTGCCTATCTACTATCTTTACAAAAAGAAGGCAACCAATTCTGCGTCATTCGATCAGAAGCAACAAAAATTTCTGAAGAGACGAATGAACAAGTGGAGGCTCCTGTAGTTCTGTCTTCCTCTAGACCGCATCTACATTGCAGCTGAATTTGCAGAGGACCAAACAAAACAATAAGGAAGTTAGGTACATATATCGCAACCTGTAAGCCGTTCAATATCAGAAATCATCTAACAAAACATCTTGTTATAGAAGAAAATAAATATATAGAAATATAAAATGGATAACTCATATAAAAACATCATAAGCTGGGTCTTGATTTAACGTCAGCAGCGTTGTGTATTATACATTTGTAGATGAAAACCAGCATGCAAGATTATCTTAAAACAAATAACCTGTTTCTTAGACTGAAAAGATATTACTGAGATTACCTGGGCTTAAATCCTTCAACACTACTACCAGGACATAAACATTCTCAACCAAGGATTGGGATATAAACCCAGTATTTTCGATACCAGGGCAAACCATTATTCCCAATTACTAAACTACCTTCAGGCCATATTTTAGCACATGTACACAGATTGAAAATCCACAAGGACGGGGCATGAGTATGTATGGCAACCAACAAACCATTATTTCCAACAGTTTTCAGGTAAGTCTCTCCAAACCAGACATGCTATACAGTTTCCTAGAGGACAAATGGATATAACTTTATTAAGAACAGTACCAAGCTCTGTTAGAAAGAAATCGATGCAGAAGTTTGTCACAAAAGATGCAGGACAAAATACAAACTGAAGACTAAAGGATTATCACAAGTGAATGACTATTAATGCATAGAAACTGTGTCAGGGAAAAAAAAAGATGACCAGCCATACATGGGGTAAAATGGAAACCTTACCATGAGAGGTTCTGCTCCTGTATCTGTCTTCCTCTTATACAGTCAGATAAGTCTCCAGTAAATGGCTGCTACTCTTTTAGGTAGACCCACTCCTTCAAATCAGAAGACTTGCGTAAGTTGTTGCCGGTTTTCTCAAGGAATGTCGGGGAATTCATCAGCATGAACGTGGCATTTTCACCCCCAAGGTACGTCAAGATATTAATGCACTCTTCCACACCCACAGACTTAGCCACATCCATTATACAACTATGTGGTTGCTGGCAGCTAATCCACTGATTGATAAACCTTCTAGCTTCATTGACGTTTTTGACGATGTGGATACCTTCCATTGACAATGACTCGACATCTTCATCCACGTCATTGATGATTTGGAAATCTTCCATTGGCAATGCCTTGACCGGATCATTTGCATGTAACCTCGAATTGTGAAATTTCAATATCTTCCCTGTTTTCGAACAATAGGAACCAACCTTCTTGACACAAATAGCTGCAGATCTAAAGGAACCGCCAGCAGGAATGGTAAGAAAATCTATTACATCTCCAACGTGAGTTACAACTTCATGGTTATCACTCAGCCACACGATCCCCCTCTTGAGTGCTTGCTTTAGTTTAAGGGCACGAAGCCATCTCTTTGAACAATCTAAACAGCAAGAAACATGGCTTAATCCCCATTAACAATTGTAACAGTTCAGAGAAGACAAAAGCATGATGGCAGGTACAAGAACAATTTAGCATTTCAGAATATAGAGAACAAACCAACAATATACCATGGCTCATGGTATCAAATCACAGTTTATATCCGAGGAGCCACTTCTTTAAATAACCTAAACAACAAGCAACATGGCTTAACCCCCATTAACAATTCTAACATTTGAGAGAAGACAAAAGCATGTTGGCAGGGATAATTTGGCATTTCAGAATATAGAGAACAAACTAACAATATAGTATCATGGTATCAATTCACAGTGTATATTCGGGGAGGCACTTCTTTGAATAACCTAAACAGCAAGCAACATGACTTAACCCACATTAGCCATTCTAACATTTCAGACAAGATAAAAACATGCTGGCAGGAGCAAAAACAATTTGGCATTTCAGAATATAGAGAGCAAACTAACAATATATGATGGGGGTATCAAATGACACTGTAGTAATCACAAGGGAAACTAGAAGTGCTTACTTGATCTCGGTGGTGTCTCTTGGGGAAGCAGGTCTGCTGGGTCATGAACCAGCCACGGAAGGAGAAACAGACTCGGAGTGATCTCATTCTCGTTGAGCAGGAACTTGTGGTGATCACCAACTTTGATAGAAGAAGTTGTTGTATCTGAGCTGACAGAAAATATGATTGAGTTCTGCACTAAGAAAATGGTACTAGTGTCGATAGGATGAATGCCTGCCACTGAGGGGAATATGTGTGGGTTCAGTCCTGCTTCCTGGAAACTCTTATCAGCACGAAGAGATACTAAATCGACTGAGAATGTATGCTCCCAAAATGTGACATCCTTAAGAGTCATCAAGGTCCACACGGCAATCGACTGTCCTGAACTGTCTATCTGAAGGTATCTAAGTTTGCCATCACTAACACCAATACAACGTCTCCTAAGCTTCTCTACAACAGCAGGCGACCCCATGTCATCGTCTTCATCCATCGTGCAGCCTTCTGGGAGCTGGACGTACCGAAGCCTGGGATCCTCCAACAGAACTTCACATAGCACCAAACCATAAGCAGCATCAATCCAACAGACCTCGCCATCGAGAGGTATCGCACGGTGGCTGTGGCTGTGTCTGTGCCAACCCCTCGGTGGCTGCTGCGAATTGCAGGACAGCAACTTCTCACTCCAGTCTTGGTCGTGGGTCTCCGTGTCGCTCCAGTCCTGGTCATGGGTCTGTGTGTCGAGTACTCCTCCGGTCTTGGATTCATAGCAGAGAACCTCCTGGAAGGCTCCGCTCGCGTCCGCATGGAGTAGAACAACGATGTAGGCATCGCCATCCTCCTCGTCGCGCGGATCGCTGAGTACCGCCAGGCATGGGAACCCGCGCTCGTTGTCATCACAAGTCGCGCCGACTGGCAGCGGGAGGCGCATGACCTTGAGGTTTGTGGCGTCGCAGATGATGATGACGCCTTGACGAGGAGGCAGAGCAGCAGAGGTGGTTGCGGCCGGTGCTGGCCGCGGCTTGGCGCTCAAGAGAAGCCGACCAGCAGAATCCGCGCAGACTATCTCAACGAAGCAGTGGGCGGCCTCGCCGAGGCTCCGCTGCGGAAGGCAGAGAAAGGAGATGAGCGGCGGCGGCTGCTTGCTCATGGCCAGGTCTCTGGTCGGAGGAAGCTCCTCGTCGGTGACCGGGATCGGGAGGGTGAAGAGCATCGCCCACTTCACCTCCTCGCCTTCGCCTTCGCCCTCGCCCTCGCCCTCCGACCCCATTACTCGCCCTCGCCCTCGCCGGATTGAGGCTCCTTCGCCATCGCCCTCGCCTCGCGACTCCATTGATAGCCCTCGCCCTCGCCCTCGCCCTCGCCTGCCTTTGGAGGTTTCGGATGGAGGAAAGAGAGAGAGAGCCGGAGAGGAGGAGGAGGAGCGATTCGCGGCGCGGCGCCCCCGAATCAGGTGTGATTTGGGGGAGAAGGGAGGGTTTTTGTCCGGGGAATTTAACCATTTGTCACTTTTAGATTTAGCAATTATTCAAATACCCATCTTAAATTATTTTTTGTTTTTCCTTTATAAAGATAAAGAGGTGGTCTAACTATTTGCCACTTTTTACCCACGTGGCGCGCCAGCGTAGCAAACTCTGGTGAAAAACTCCGTGGGACCCACCCGTCAGTCTCTCCCTCCCCTTCGCCCGTGTTCGCTGCCCTATCGCCGCCGCGCCGCCCATCTTCTCCGCCGCTCGACCGGCGCCCCCCCATCGACGCCGGCGCCGCCTCGCGGCCGACCACCGCGGCACCGCCCCGCAGCTGACGCTAGGCCCTCATCACCGGCGCCGCCTCGCAGCCGACCATCGCCAGCGTCGTGGACGGAGGCAGCGGTCGGGGCGGTGGCCACCCGATACGCTGCGCGCGTGGCTGCGCTTCACCGTCGCCGATGCGTTCTCTATCCATCTACGGAGCTTCCCGCATGGATGGATTGCAAGTCGACTTTCCCGTCTTCGATGCGGCGACGGCGATCCGTTCCGTCTCATCGAGAGCATCTAGCTCCGGTCGCCACCCCAGGACAACGGTGGCACGTTCGCCGCGTTGACCACCGTGATGATACATACCTGCAGCATGGACGGCGGCGAGCTGTGGTTCACAGAGCTTTGGGGGGCTCGGTGAACGGCCTCGCCCGGGCCGCTGCCTCCGTCCTCGACGCCGGCGATGGTTGGCTGCGAGGCGGCGGCGGCGATGAAGGCCTGGCATCGGCTGCGGGGCGGTGCCGCGGTGGTCGGCCGCGAGGCGGCGCCGGTCGAGCAGTGGAGAAGATGGGCGGCAGCGGCGGCGATGGGGCAACGAACACAGGGGAAGAGACGAAGGGGAGGGAGAGACTGACGGGTGGGTCCCACGGAGTTTTTCACCAGAGTTTGCCACGCTGGCGCGCCACGGCGTGGGCAAAAGTGGCAAATAGTTAAGGGACTGTTCACTTTGATGCCATTTTCAATCTTACCAAATTTTGATAAAGTTACCAAAAAAGTGGCTATATTTAGTTTGCTGTTAAATTTTGGTAACTATATAAGAAATCCTACCAAAATTTTGGCAAGTTGCCAAAATTTTGGCAACTTTACCAAATTTTAGCATTTGGTAAGATTTTTTTTTGGCATTAAAGTGAACAGGCCCTAAGAGACCACCTCTTTAGAGGGGCAAAAAATTAACTGCAAATCTAACTAAAAAGGGCATTTAGATAATTGTCAAACCTAAAAGTGCTAAATAGTTAAATTCCCCTTATCCGGCTGTTACGGCTGGGGGTGGGGCCCACACCACACACATCGTGAGACACAAGTTTGTTACGTCTAGGGATGAAAATAGTGCCAGAAAAAACCATATACCATTTTCATTTTCATATTTTTTTTCTCAAAAAGGGAATCGGAACGGTACTTGAAACGGTAACGATATCGGCAATATCGCCGATATCGGTATATCGGAAACGGGACCATCGGAACGGAATATACCGATATTGGTCGGAAGTCGAAAATTCATGTCGGAATCACCAGAGTGTGGCATAACACACATTTAACTATGCACGTAGATGACTTTTTAACTTTATTCTTGCATCATCACACTCCACATAACACCGTTATATGATGATTAATGATATGATAATAAGTTTGACAAACAATATAAACAAAGTTCAACAATACTTATACATCGATAAGTTGAGGAGACCAAAGTTCAGCAAAATCCACACGCCATGTCATAGGTTTAACAGCATTTTCCCTGGTCACTTCCCCTTTTTTTATGGGCTGCAAGCCTACCAGAATTTTTTTCTGTTCATGGGCTTCCAATGGGTTGAGCTAGCTGAGCCGCTGGGGAACTTTCGAAATTTTGACAGAAATTACCGTACAAATATGGTTACCGACAAAACGGTCGGAAAAACCTCCATCCCATTTCCACTACCATTTCCAGAAGATATCACCCGTTTCCATTTCCACCACAATCGGTTACCGATACCGACTGAAACGGTCGGTGCAAGCTGGAAACGGTAGCCGGAAATCTCGAAAATTTCTGTACCGTTTTCACCCCTAGTTACGGCCACGCGGTGCATTCTCCTTTTTTCATGCATGTCTCATTTTTATAATACTAGCAAAAATGCCCGTGCGTTGCAACGGGTGAAAAACTTCTAATAATAAAATAGGATTTTCATACATAACGATGTCAATGACAATGTTTGTATGGATCGTTTGTAGCTAAGACAATCAAAAAAATTGTAACATCTTAAATGAAATGGCCCAACCTCAACGATGACAACCTCACTGATGCTTGCTTTACCTAAAATAATTAGATTATTCATGTGACAACATGCATATAATCTAAAATACTCTTTGAATCTTATTCTTGCAACCAATAATACGATCAATCAAATCCTACATTACCTCGCATGGTCAAATCTACACAAAATAGAGTCACTGTGAACTCTTCTCTAAATAACAATTAAAAATATGTTTATTTTTTAATATTATATCCATATCATATGTTATCAACAATAGTAGCTATACTTAACAAAAATAGTCTGATAATTGCATATAGAGACGTGCAGGGTCTCTAATACAGGAGAATAGATGACCAAACAAAAGTTGTGTAGGAGATGGAAAAATCGATGGATCCTATCTGACCCAAGGCGTCCATCAATTTAGCGTTTTTCAAACCATTTTTCATGCGAGGTTTTTTTAAACCATTTTTTAGAAATGTGCGTTTTTTCTAAAAGTTTTTTCCTCGCATGTTTTTTTATTATTTTTACGGATGATGGAAATATTTTTTTTTCTCGTACATTTTTTTATTTTTTAGGACTACGGAAACCTTTTTTTAGCGCTTTTCTCTGACATTTTTTCCTCACGTGTTTCTTTAACCATTTTTATTTTCTTGCGCATTTTTTCATTTTTACCGTTTTTATTTTCTCGCGCATTTTTTTCTTTTTAAGTTGTACGATGAAAACTTCTCTTTTTAGTTATACGATGAAAACATCTCTTTTTAAATAGATTAGATTAGATTAGGCATAGAGAAGAGATATATACGGACTATTAAAACGAAGAAATTGGACTTTTTTTTTGCTGCGCTTCCCACCCTTTTTACTTTTTTTTCTCGTTTACAAACCCTTTTTTCCCACTATCTGAATTTTTTAAGTAGGGACGGACGAAGGAAACATTTTGAATTTTTTAAGTAGTAGAGATAGAGACTAGAGAGTAGAGATAGAGATGTATACAAAGTTTATATACAAACATATAAAAAATACACGTATACAAAGGTTGTATATGTGTATATATAAAGTTTGTATACATACATAGTATTAAGAAATAAAAAAACAGAAAAAGAAAAAAGGGAAAGAAAAAACTGAAAAGAAACGAAAAAAAGGAAGAAAAAAAGAAAAACCGTGCGTGGGAATAGGAAAATTTTCCCCTTTTTAAGGGATCAGATCTATTTTTTTTCGCCACTTTTTCTGTTTTTTGAACCGGACTTTTTTTTCCCCTTTTTAGGGGAATCGGATCTACCTTTTTTTCGCTATTTTTTCTCGAACTTTTTTTTCCTTTTTAAGGGGAATCGGACTTCTTTTTTTAGTTTTTCTTTTCTCTATATTTTTTTTACGGACGACGGAAATTTCTTATACTTTTTAAGTTGTAGAGAAGAGATATACTACTAAACAATAGGACCTGTTTGTTTTAAAACTAACCAATACTCCATCTGTTCAAATTGATTATCATATAATAAAATCCAAAATTTCTCAAATTGATCATCATATAACTGCATGGACACAGATTTCATCCGAATACAATTAATGTAGCAAGAGAGAATGTGTACATGCTAAGGGTGTATGATGATCAATTTAAGATGGATAGAGTAACAAATGTTAAGGGTGTGTTTTTTCCTCCTTTTACTTTTGCAATTCCTTCATTACCGTGAATATGTTTTCCAAACTGCTAAACAATGTGTTTTTTATTTAAAAAAAACTTTCAAATTCCTTTAGAAAAATCAAATAAACTCAATTATTTTCAAGTTTATAATAATATTATTTAATTAATCTTACACTAATGGCTATTTTCACATGGCTTGCATAGAGCGCTAGCTCTATCTGGAACTAGTAGTCTTAATACAAAGCTGTGTCTTTGAGCTAAGTTTCTCCCTCAGATACTGTTGAGCAATCAGAGCAGATCTATCGGCACTCTGAGTAATTCTGTCGATCCACGCTTCATTCAACACAAATGAAACCTCCTGGTACTCTATTCCAGCTGCCTCTAGAGTTAAAACCTCAAGTGCAGGGGCATTCTCCACAACATGTAGAAGAAATTCGACCTGATCTCTTGAACCTTTATATCCTATGATACGCATGTTCTTCAGGTTATTGTATTCACAGCGTCCAAGTTGTTGCCTGATAGGATGGTCCTCATGCGATTCATCCAGTATTAATAAATTCATGGAAAACTGCATGGTTAAAACATAACAATATGTGATCAGCTGGGTTTAGATCCACATCCTTTAATATATGTGTACCTAGGATATGATACATACTGCATCTAGTGATTGTTATCATCATCATTATTTTTTAAAAAAAAGAAAATGTAACTGTATGTTTGTGTGTATCCAGATGTAACATAAGCAGTGAAGCTGTTTGGGAAATTTTGCAAAAATACGATAATATACCCACTCTGCAAAGTAATAATTGTATACTCTCACTTGACTCTATTGAAAGAAAACCTTGCTAAGGCAGTGTTTAGTTCCCTTCAAACTTCCAAAAATTCTGTCACATCAAATGTTTGGACACATGTATGGAGCATTAAAAAACCAATTGCACAGTTTGCATGTAAATTGCGAGACGAATCTTTTGAGCCTAATTACACCATGATTTGACAATGTGATGCTACAGTAAACATTTGCTAATAACAGATTAATTAGGCTTAATAAATTCGTCTCGCAGTTTACAGGCGGAATCTATAATTTGTTTTGTTATTAGTCTACGTTTAATACTTCAAATGTGTGTCCGTATACTTCAAAAAAGATTTGGCACACGAACTAAACACGGCCTAAGCAAACGCTCCTGGGTAAACAACGGCGAAATTGTTTTCTGAATAGAAGTACAAAAATATATTGTGCAGAGACAGATTCTCAGAAACAATACACAGATATGCAGTCAATTATAACATGCTAAAACCAAGACATGAACGACCAGTGTGAGCAGACTGACCTAATTTTACTGCATGGTATACCCAGGATACTAAAAGGAGATCAGTATTACATGACATGTCAACATACAAGTGAAGAAATAGTTTGGAGAATAGTAGTAGTTACTGATAAGAGCACTTACATGGATCTCTAACTTCTCAATAAAAGGAGCAGCCCTGAGAAAAGAGACAAAAAAATTCGTCTCCACGATCCCAGAATCTGCAAAGTTTTTCAACCGCAAGTACCTGAGATGAGAAAACTTCCAAGGTGTATCTGATAACAACTTAGTCTGGAAAACAAAAGGACAAAGATCATTCACTAGATTATGTTAAACAAGCTAAAACTGTAGCATGGAGGGTTAGTTTCTGAGAACAAACCTCTGCATCGTTCCAAGAAAGGTGAAAATTCAGATTTTGCAAGTTCGGAAAACATTTTACCAGGTCACTGATAGCATGCCGATCATTCAAACTATATAACCTGATGTTTGCATTTTCCAGCTTCAACGAATGCTTGAGGGCTATGGGCACAAAGTCTCCTTTATATACAAAATTAGCTAGCTCCACAGCATGGAATTGTATCTTGGTTACTTGGCAGTACACAACTTGTAGGTATACCAGACGGGGCAATGGACTACCTACCCTAAGTTCACCATTCAGGCGGCATCTGTCCATGCTTAGCCATTCAAGAAGTTTGCAATTTGACAGCATAGTTTCAAAATCCTTTGAAGAGGCATCTAGAAGTTGCAGATCAAGCTTTCTCAGGTTAGGGAAACCTCTGAACTTGGAAGGTGGTTTGATAGATACAAAACTGAACTGCACATGTTGTAGACCGGACAAGCTTCCACTGTCCAAAAGTTCAAAGGGGAATTTGTAGCGTGCAGGATATCGTTCAATATCATTGGTTTGCAGATCTAAAGCTAGATTCTTCATCTTAGATGACAAGGAAAAGATAACCCAATTATCAAGATAATGAGCTGGTATGCTGTGAAAATCAAATCTGATATGAAATTCCTCAACCACTTCTCCCTGGTATTTTTGCAAAACAGCATTAACCTGAGCAATGAATTGCCGAGCGTGTAAGAACAGTTCACCCCTTTCGCATTTGAACATCGCAAGACCATCAAAACACAATCTGGGGCACGTCAACCAGATGCACCTCCACTTGGTAGACAAAACACTAGTTTTTGCAGCCTCTTTCAGTGGTAATTTAGATAAAATTTTGTATACTACAAGGTCCTGCAGCAAATGCATCACATACATTTGGAGATTATAAATAAATCCCATTTCTACCCAACACTCAAACAGAAAAGAAGTTAAGATGAACATACCCATGGAAGGTCTTCAAGCCTTACACCTGGTCTTGCATTCTCATCGATTTGTTTACCATGGCCACGATCTTGTAGTTTTCTTTGGTGTATTAAATTGTTACCCATTTCTATGCCGAATGCAACAAGGTTACTTTCCTCTGTTATCCATGGAATTGGAACAATAAGTGGAAATACAGAAGAATCAAGGAGTGTACTGTTCAAGACAACTAGCTAATTAGAAGGTGCTGAAACAATGCATGATCCATCTAGTTTACGTTTGGTTTCTGCACAATTTTTCTTCACTGTGTAAAATATTTTCAGTCTGAATTGAGACAAAATCTTGGTTTTCAAGCAGGGTCCCAGAAATTTTAGGATAGGTATTCGAGCTTTTAGCACTAGGCTTTCCTAATTATTCTGATACACGACCATAGGATGGTATCCGTCTCATCAAAGCACTGATACCACAATAAGTATGTGTAGAACTGATAAAAGAAATAATGTTTGGATATATATGAAAAATATATAGAATTTACTGATGATGACTTTTATTATCCGCAAGGAATTCACAACAACTTGGCATGTACTCCCTCCCTCCGTTTTAGGTTATAAGACGTTTTGACTTTGGTGACTTTGGTTAAAGTCAAATTGTTTTAAGTTCGATCAAGTTTGTAGAAAAAGGTAGTAACATTTTCAACCCAAGATAAATTTATTATAAAAATATATTCAATTATTGATTTGATGAAACTAACTTAGTTAAACTTGAAACAGTTTGTCTTTGACCAAAGTCAAAATGTTTTATAACCTGAAACGGAGAGAGTAATAAACTTGCTACTCATCGCCGGGGCCAAAGAACGAATATGTTAGGATTCGCTAGGCACATTTCAGTCACCTGGACCTGGCCGTTGGATTATGATCCAGTGGCGGGCCCAGGATTTAGAGGTTGGGTATTCGAAATAGGTAGGGGTAAAACAAAATTCTTTTTACTTCTAGAAGTCCAATAATTAATTGGTATAATATTACACATTACTAATTGTATAATATTATAGCATATGGCCATAACTTTATAAATTGATAGAATTGATCATAAGTCCAAATTCTTTAACATATATAAGTACTAATTGTTCGACATATGAAAGTGGCAACATATATAACATGTAAAGGATAGAAAATGGTAAAATGATAAAAAAAACTTACAATTTAGAGGAGAACTTTTCAATGCTTGATATTTTAAAAATGAGTGATGATGTCCTCATCCTTTAACTTGTACAAAAAATTCTCTTCCAATAAATGTAGATTGTTGCTCATCTTGCTTCTTGTTTTTATATAGTTCATCGAAGAAAACACCCTCTCTAAATTCTCTAAATTCCTAACAACAGCTCATATATAGCCTCATACTATCATCATATATATAAATTTAACACACTGAAAATTAAATATTATGGTTCTAAGTTATCTAAATTCCTAATATTTACAGCTTTATACTATCAATCTGTCAATAAATATACACTTAACAGTTAACACTCTGAAAAATAAAGAAGACAGGAACTGAGGAAGTTGAATCCTTCGGTGCTAGTGAACTATTGAACTACTATAGAACAAATCAATGAAACAAGCCGTCGCCACCGGAAAACATAACTACTATTGAACTACCTAGAACAAATCAATGCAATGAATCAATGAATCAAGCCCCTCACGCAATCCATGCCAGGCCGGCAAGCCGTGGTCGTTCGGCTGCCGCATCGCGTACCTGTGTGGTGGCCTGGTGGACTGGCGGCCTGCACGCCTGGCCGAGCCCCAACGCCGCACGGCCGCAGCCGTCGACGCGCCGCCTGCACGCCTCGGCGCCTCCTGCCGCCGACGCAGCCGCGCACGCCGCAGCCGGAAGCCTCTGCCGCAGCCGCCGACGAGCACGCTGCAGACTAGACTGCAGTCGCCGCCGCCCGACGCGCTGCCTAGGCTCCTACCCGCCTTGGCGCCGCCTTCCGCCGACGCAGCCGGAAGTCGCCGCCGCCGCACTGCCGCACGTCCTCGCCGCCACACCGCGCACGTCCTCGGTCCTCTGGTTAGGGTTTGGCCGATTTGGGAATTAGGGCTTTGGTTTGCTGTGCCTAGGCGAGGAGGGGAAATGAACTAGTTGTGGCCCAAACTGATTGTGGGCTGAGATGAAAGGGGAGGGAAGTGGGAAATTTAGGCCCAATAGAGAAGAAACGATGAAACAGGGCCCAAAATGAGTAGTTTTAGCCTTTTTCTTTAATTTCTTGAATACATATACGAGGTATAGAGTACATATACTTATTTTTTTTGTCTAAAAATCTTGGGTATACGTCTGAATACCCTTGAATCAATAGTGGGCCCGCCCCTGTTATGATCCAATTGCCAGGGCATCATCTTCAACCTCAGGATTAGGGGAAGCATCTTCAACCTCGGGATGAGGGGGAAGGGAGAGAGGGTAGCTCACCGGAGGGACGTCGACTTATTATTCCACCGCCGGCGAACTCTCCCTCCTCTTTGGCGCCGGTGACGACAGCCATAGATTTCCCGAACCAAAACAAAAACCTAGATTTGGGTTCGGGGGCGGCGAGGCGGCGGTGGACGGAGCCGCGGGGTTGGAGGAGGGAGGTGAGAGGGTTCTGCGGCGTAGGTTCCTAGAGGAGTGAGTAGGAGGCGGCGATGGCGGTGGCGTCTCCGGTGGCAGGAGGAAGGCCAGAAAGCCGCGAGCAAAGCTTCGATGGCGGATGCCGCGACGCGAGGAAGGAAGAAGACGACTAATGGTTTGCCTGCACGAATCAAAGACCCTACTGGTATTTGGTTGATTTGTATACGCCTAGAAACTTATAGTCACATTAAATTTACACCTCTGTGCTATAAAAATATTATATCCTAACTGCGAATCTTGATGCATGCATGTCGAGGTTCATACCCAGAATTAATCTTTTTTTAAGGAAGGAATACATATTGCTAAGCCCAAGATTACAAGGCTATGCAGTGCGCAATTTCAGTTCCTCCGATGTTAAATACTTCTATTTGTTCCTAACATTTTAGAGAAAATCCTCTATATACCCTTGAGAATTCATTCAATCTTTTGCGTGCCCCTGAATTTTGCCTCATAAATTATATACCCTGAGTTTTTAATTTGATTTTCTCTATGCTCATTCTGTTAGTTGATCATGAGTTGACCGTTAAATATTTTTTAAATTGATTATATTACCCCTCTCTTATACTTATGTGCTAGTTTAGTGATAAAAACACAATTCTTAAAACAATGGATGACAATAAATTTTATAAAAAAATCTAGAATTTTTAAATAAATTTTGAATTAACTTTTATGTAATTCGTTCACTGTTTTCATCAAAATTTGAGCCCAACAAATATATAATTTTTGTTTATAACTTCTAGCTAAAATTGTCAAAAAATAATTTGTTCAACAATTTAAATTTTCTTTTTCGAATTTTACAATAAATAATTATGCCCCCGTTTGATTTTATCAGGAATAACAATTTTTCACATTGTAAATTATGAAGTAGACCCCATGTAAGTATGGGAAATGGGCGATATGGTCATTTTAGAAAAATCTAACAGCCAATTAACAAAGTAGGGATATAAGAGATCAAAATAAATACTCAAGGGCATGTAGGGGATGATGCAAAATTCAAGGGGCGTAGAAGAGATTACAAAACTTTTCAGGGGTATGTAGAAAATTTTCTCAACTTTTTAGATTGTTGCACGCATATACGAGAAAATATATCCTTTTAGTCACTTCATGGGTTGAATTTGAATTTCTTGGTTCCCTTCTAAGTATATTATTAGCTGAAAAATGTTTGGAAAATCATTGTTCTCAAAATGCTTATTTTGTATAAAAGATTGGATGCTACAAATTCTATCTTATTGGCTGAAAATGCTTGGCGAATCGTTGTCCCAAAAAAAATGCTTATTTTATATTAAAAAAATTGAATACTACAAATGCTATTTGGTAATGGCCGGGGGGGGGGAGCGTATATGACACTACTGAGTTTTTCCTAAATTTTGACCTACATTATTTATTCAATTACTCCAATTATTGCTAAATATAAGTATTTATATGATTCAAATTTGGTACTCAATATAAACATTTCGGGGACGTAAATTCTAGACTTCAAGTACATGGGTAGCCAAGAATTTTGTATGGAAATCTTAGCATTTTTCTTTTTAGTAAGGTAAATATGAGGAGGATCAAGTGTGTAAAGATTAGCACCTTCATATAGCTTTTCCTAAGATTAGAAATGAATCACTAATCATGATGTAATCAAGCCATATTTGCTATAAAAAGCATACACAAATATATTTTGTTTTCATTGTTTATACGTTATGTGTGTAAGACTTTATTTGCACTATTTGTAATTAATGTACTTTTGATAAATTAAGATCTTTTAGTGTGTTTGTGTATATGAATAACTCTGATTGGGACTATGTGAGCACACCCAGGACAAAAGAAAAAAAAACATAGGTCCGTCACGAGTGGACAAATAGACAAGCACGAGTAATTGTAGAAGTAGGGCGGAAAACGTCATGAGTCTGAGAAGACATACACGATGTAACATATCTCGTACGAATTCGAAGATATTCAGCTAAATGCACATAAAATAGATGGGCCCGCACAAATTAAATCAAATTATGTCCCATTATGGGAAACAAATCTTTTAAAAAGATATAATAACCCATTTAGGAAAATTTTTGACCAAATACTCCATCATTGAAAAGTCTAAGGCATATTTCTTTTTTATCAAGACCAATGACCAATTAATTTATTCACCATGTGATAAAACCAATGAGCATGAAACCAATAAGTACTAATATAAAATGACTTCGGTTCCAATCAACAATTTAATTACCACATAGTGACTACAAATAAGACTTAGACTTTTAAAAAAACAAAGAATGAAATATGTCTTAGACTTTTTATATGGAGGGAGTACATCTTATATAGAAAAAACAAAATTGTACTGGTTAAAAACCGAAGGATTGGGGTGATAGTAAACGAACCTGCCGTCGACATCGACACGGGAACTGCGGATGATGCTGCAGCCTGCAGGTGAGCGGGGTTTGCGAATCGGCGGAACACGCGCCAAGTCGACGATTCGGCCGGCGTCTTTTTTTCTTCTTCCTGCTGCTGCTGCAGCTTTTCACGTTTTGATGGTACATTTTTACATGCTGTTTTTATTGGGCCGCGGCGTACGACACGATGAACCATCATCGTCGAATCGGAGTGGATAACGGACAGGGGAGTCCGGGACGGTCTTCACCGTAGTCGTCCGTAAGGCAGAACAGGGGCAAGACCAGTTTAATCCTCCTTCTCTATCAATATATAAGGCAAATTTCTTGCCTTCCTTTCAAAAAAAAAAGACCAGTTTAATCAAGGCCGTTGGATGTCTGCCCGTCGATCTGATCCAGCCGTCCAGGGGCGGGCCCACCTCAATGCCAGGGATTGATTTTCTTTTTTCTTTCTGGGTTCAAGTCCTATGTACTTATGTTGGGACAAATTGAGTTTTGAGTGAAAAAGGTACACAGGCAATGCCTGATGAATTAATTTACAATTGGAGAATTGAGCATATGTATATTTCGCTTCTTTTTTGAACGATATGTATATTTCGCTTCTGGAATGGGTGGATGATCGGTTTGCATCAATTATCATGCACAATAACCATTCGAACTAAAAAACTAACCATTGAAACTAACAGCGCATGTCAGAACATAAAATTGTTCAGGCGCACATTCTACTTAGTAGTTTGAAATTTCAGCAGTTTGTAAACTTCACAGCAAGGGCATGTACAAGATTCTTATTAACGAGCTCTTTACGTTAACATGCAATTGAATTTGGTTAGATGGAAGAGAGAGAAGCAAGAAGAGACAGACATTGTTGCTACGGTTAACAACTGCTTAACGACTCTTAGCCTCTATAAAATGAAAACTTTGTTGCATGAGTGTGTGAACCATAATAAAAAGATAATATTTGTGGATTAATGGTTTAGAGTCTTTGGTGTCTCTACCATTGTAAGGATATAGTCTTTAATAAACATGCATTATCTAAGAGTCTATATGGGCTCTACATTTAAATATGACCTACAAAAGCTCATAGGCGACTCTTAACATTTATTAAATGATATTTTGTTGCACGGGATAGAGAAAAGGAAAGAAGAGTAATATATTTTTTTGGGGGGAATCTTAGCATTTATTAAATGATATTTTGTTGCACGGGATAGAGAAAAGGAAAGAAGAGTAATATATTTTTGGGGGGAATTAATGATTAAGAAGTTTTGTTGTCTCAACATTTTTAAAAAATTTAATTGTTGTCTCAACTATTATTATAGGAGAATAGTCACTAAGTGAGTACTCCCTATATCCTATAATACAAGGTATAGTCAAACTTGACACGGTCTACAAAACTAATTTTTATCTTATAATTTCTCATATATAATAAAGTTTGTAGTAACAAAATTATAACCATATGAAAATAAATTTAAATGTCAATTCAATGATATAATTTTTTAGTAAGTAAAATTCAATTCATATTGTACTAAATGTTAGTCAAAATATTATGAAGATGAAATCTTGAAATGCATGGGCGCCTTATATTATGGGATGGATGAAGTATTTATTAACTAAGAGCTCATATCAGACTATCTCTTAGTCAACAGCTAGGAAAAAAAATGAAGTAACAGCTAGCAACCGTAAAGAAGATAACTAAATAACGAATTCTCACTAGATGTCAGAAAGAAAAAAACATTCTGATCGAGCCACCGAGGTCGGCGGACCAAAAGTCCATCGGATGATCGGAGCCGGTTGAACCCATCTGCATTCCTATCCGCCGTGCCGGCCCAGTCTCGCCGGACTCGGCCCGTTACATCCTACAGAAAGCGGCCCAACACAATCCGTGTCGGATTCAACGGCTCTTTCGGATTCCGACGCGGACTCCCCATTCCGATTCGTCGCTTGTGCGCACGGCGCCTATTATATAACCGAACTCCCGGTCTCAGCTGCTGCGTCTCATCGTTCGTTCCATCTCAGCGCGAGTCGTCGTCGTTGTCATCGTCGTCATCATCGTCTGCTAGTTCATTTCAAGATAGGGCCATGATGAACGAGGCTGAGAGAGAGGCGGTGGCGATCCAGCTGGGGTGGATCTCGGACCTCCTCGCGGACACCGAGCGGTTGATAGCCAGCAACAGAGGCTACGTGCGTGACCTGCTCGAATCCATCGACGACGGCACATGCCCCTTCACCTTCGCCGAGCTCCAAGACGAGATCCGCGACCTCCGCGAGTCAAGGGCCGTCGACGCCGCGCTGGACGGGATCAAGGAGATGCTCGACGACGTGCGAGCCATCCTCACCCGCGCTTCGTCCCATGGTGCTCGCGATCATGTAATTAGGATTTAGGAGTTGTTCTGTTTTGTTTTATTTCTTTTTTTTAAAAAAAAGAAGCATGGAATGCCTCATTTCCAGGTAGTATCGAATTGTTCTGTAAGGTTTGATGTATAATGTTAGAGTTTTTTTTTTTAAAAAAAAGTAGTTCTGGGGAGACAATTTTGTACCGAAAAGCTAATGTCGGACAGTCCGAGATTACTAACCCTTCTTTTCTCTGTGCATGTTAACACAACAGACCTGATTCTGAATGACAACACAGGACCAGGTTATGAAAGAGTTACCTCATGCATTTACAATTGGCATTAAAAATTCACTTCAGCAGATGTATGGATGGTCGGTCCTATCATACAGATAAAATGGAGACTATAGCAAATGTCACAGCACATCACAAAAATGTAATTCAATAATACGCATATCTTTTGTGTATTCCCGACAAAAGATTGTCACAGCACAAAATTGTTCAGGCATTCTGCTTACTTGCTTCAGAAGTTGAAGTTCAGAGCACTACAGCAAATGGCATATTTAACTTTTTGCCACTCCGGAGAGGTGAGGTGGCAAAGGATTTGCCACTTTGTTCTTCGTTACATGGATATATTGCCACAGACAAGAAGGGGGGAAATCAAAACCGCCCATCTGTATAAAAATACAGGAACAGGTTATGAAAGAGTTGCCTTGTATTCAGACTTGATCATAACATTTCAGTTGTCAAAAATAGAGCATAACATTCCACACCGCAAATTTATGATCAATCATATTATATACAGATATCCAAGGAAAGTAGGAAACTACAGCAAATGCCAGAACGCACAGTTGTTCATGCATACATTCTAGTACTTGGTGTTTACAACAGTTCTGTAAACTTCAGAGCAAAGAAGAGTTTATGGTTTCCCTTTCTAAGCCTATATCAACAAAAAAGAACAACAAGAAGACATCCAATCTCTGTCATTTGATCTGAAGATACGAAAATTACTGAAGAGATGATGTCAGAGGTTCTGCTATTGTAGTTCTGTGACTTCTATCTCGTCAGACCATCAGCAGCTGAATTTGCAATGATCAAACAAGAAATTAAAGACAAGTTAATTACAGGCACTACAACTCACAAGCCGTTCAATATTCATAAATTATCTAAAATCAACAGGGATAACTCATCTAGAAACCAGCATACTGAAGCCGTTGTCATGATTTAATGGCAATGGAGTTGTCTATTGTTTATTTGTATGATACAATACAGCAGTACAAGTGAACTATTTATATTTAAAGTATGTGCAATGCATGTAAGACTGCCTTAATCTAACACTATTTCTTAGACTGAAAAGGAGCTGACAGATGGTCTGGACATGAAAATAAAAGAAGCAACTCAATTTTCTTAACTGAAGACTGGAATATAAAACTAGTATTTTTCATGTTAGGATTTAGCATGAGTGTGCATGCAACTAACAAGTCATTGTTCCCAATCATAAAATTAGCTTCAGGCCATATTTTAGCAACTTTACGCAGATTGAAAATCAACAAGCCAAACTCTGAATAGCTACTTATTTTTGGAACCTGAGGGAGCGAAAAAATTCTGAAGATTTCAGGTTCTACTCCTGTCTCCTTACCTCGGACTCATGGATCCCGGAGTGACGCTCTTTCATAATTTTCGTTTGTAATTACATCATCTTCCTGCGATTTACTGATGCAATTTTCTGCAGCTAAGAGTTCATTGTATTCTGCTTTCAACTCCTTTCTTGTCCTCTTCTTTTCCTCCAAATTCAAATCTCCCCAGTGGATATTCCTAGTTTTCAATTCAAGTTCAGCTCGTGTTATACCTGTTTTCCGTTGCTGACTCTCAAGTACATTGTTTGTATGCAGACGGTGCGAGTATGATGTCTGAATGTCAGCAACACGATGTTCTCCCAAGGACTCAGGAGCAGAAAGTTGTGTTCTTGGGCTATTATCCATGTGGGGATCTGCAATGTAATACTGATTGTTATTATCTGGTATATAGAAATGCCTGTATTTATAAGCATACGTTTGCACATGATTACACTTAACTAAAATAATATTATGAACAAATATGCATGGATGGTAGAGCAACTGTATCTACTTGCCTAGCTCAGTGCAATGTGCGCAAGTGCGCAACAAAATTCAATACTGTATAAACTACCTTGAGCATATAATCTATAGAATGAGATTTTTATATATTTTTCTAACCAGACAAGGACTATCTGTTCAAGCAGAAGATTATAACACTTTGCTGACTAGAATCAAACTTAAGACATCATGCACAACTAAAAAGTAAGAGCAGCAATAATATCTATTGACCTAGCTCAGTGCAACAAATTCAAGCGAGCCTCTTTCACCAAAAATACGAGGAGAACATGAAAATAAAAAAGGGAAACTCCTCACCTGTAGTACCAGTCATCATAATGATGATATCAATGGTCTCAGTGTTGTGAGGAAGCTCATGTGTCAAAGGGATAAGACGTCCGTACCGGCCTGCTTGAACACAGTACTGGGTTGCCTCCCCAGCACGGCTTGTAATCTCTTCCTTTAACCGCTGAACTGATCTTCCAGTAAATTGAAAGGTTCTCCAATCCTCGGCAATGGTCCCATTAGGAGCTGCTGGCACAAACCGGATGGTTCTTATCTCAGGCCCGTCCTGGCGCTGAAACAGATTCGCCGCAAATTAGTTGAGATAGAGAGAACAGGATATACGTTGAAGAATCCAATGCAAGACAACACGAACAGCAACGGTTATGTGATGCCAACCTGCCTATGAACTCTGAAAATTAGTAGGATTTGGATAACACAAGAACAGAAAATGAAAGTGTTTTCAAGAAGTTCCTAAAAGAACAAGAATGTTACACATTTTCAGCACCTCGACCAAAAGAACTACAGATGGAACCAACAACCACTTCCATGAACTCAATCTACCCCCTAAGCCAAAATTGCACAAAAAATCTCACCGCCACAAACTCATTGCAAATGATTAACAACAAAGGACGAAATCTAGCAAGAACACAACAAGGATTTCATCAAGAACAATGCAATTGATGAAACTCTGCTAATGCGCTAACTCTGACGCAAGAATACAACCAGAAATGGAGCTTGGCTGCAAGAACCTAGGTAACGCAGTAATGGGCTAAAGAATCGCTCCCCTGCCCCCAACCAATTCGGGATGTACCATGGAAGAGGGTGTAGCGTGCTCACCCTTGAGATCGGTGGAGGCCTGGGTACGGAATCTGCCGAGGGGATGGCCTCAACCACCTGGTCCACCCAGAGCAGCATCCTGCTGTATCTATCGTCAACGGTGGCGCCAGCGCCATGGTTGGCGCGTAGGTTGCGCCCCGTGGCGTGCCGGAGCAGCACGTCATCTCCTTTCGCCGTCCGAACCGCCTCCCACGACACGGACTCGTCGTCCAGCCGGTCGAGGTTGATAAGCGCGACACGGTGGCCACGGAGGCCGCTCGGCCCCGGCTTGCCTGTGGCCGCAAGGTATCGGCCGTAGGCGGCGCTGTGGAGCAGGAGGCGGCGCTGGGGGCTACCGCCCTCCAGGTGCACCGTCCAAACCGCGGTGAGCGATGCCCCGGTCGGCTGCAGGGAGACGCCCCTCCCGTCCTCATCGGCGTGGAGGTACGTGCCGTGCACGCGGCTCCGCAGCCGCACGTGGTCCCTGTCGTGGAACTGCTCCATCGCTTCCGGGCTCCGGCGAGCAGCGGCGGAGGTGGAGGCGGAGGCGGAGACGGGGGCGCGGTGGGATGATCTTGGGTTTCTTGGCGGCGCGAGACGCAGGTAGGAGGAGCTCGACGGTTAGTCGGTTACGGCTTGGGGCTCTGGGCGAGCGCCAAGGCGAGCACTTTAAAAGGTGCACGAGCCTCCTGCTCGCTGACAGGTGGGGCCTCATCCTGCGCAATGACGTCACCGCCCGACGGCAGAGGCGTCCTGGTCGTCCCACTGACCAGGTGGGGCCTCGTTCTGCTCAATGAGGTCATCACTCCAGAGAGGCTGTGTCTGTCAGGCGTCCTCCTGTTCGTCTGCAACTGCGCCGGCCACAAACGCCACGGGCTGCCCGAGCCCATCGATCCATCAACCGGCCGACGTCGAGGGCGCCGATCATTTCTCTGCGATGTAGTGTAGATCATGTCATTATCATCTGATGATCCATTGATCCTCAAAAGGGCGGCGAAAATGCGATGAAAACAGCAAATCATACCTGATAAACATTTCATCGAACACCGTATATGCATAAGGAGCCTTCCCTTCGAGCCCACATAGAAATCGAGAACAGAGGAAGGAGAGAGGAGGAAGGAGAACAGAGGAAGGAGAGAGGAGGCGGCGGCGGCAACGACAACAACGCGCGAGAAGCGGAGGCGGCGGTTGCAGAGGCCGTGAGCACGGTGGAAAGCCACCGTCTCGACGGCGGAGTTCCGCCGGAGCCCCGCCTCCGTCGCCGTGGCGCCCGCCTGTATGCTCTCGCCCGTCTTCACCTCCGTGGCGCCGGCCTCCGCGCCAACCACCACGGCGCCTGACCCCGCCTCCGCCTCCGCCTCCGTGCCCAGGGGCGGATCTACAGTACTAGACCCGGTGTCAGGCGACACCGACGACTTTCGGCAAAACCTATAGCAAAACTGTTTATCCATATGTTATAACACTATGATCTAAACATAATTAGCATACTATGACACCGATAGACACGTTATGACACCAACGAATCGATTTTCTGGATCCGCCACTGTCCGTGCCCACCGCCATGCTCCGGCCCGGCTCCGGCGAGAAATCGGCGGAGTGCAGCCGGAGCCCTGCATTCGCCGCCGCAGCGCTCCGCCCTGCCTCCACCTCCGCGCACCACCATGGAGGAGTTCCGCCTCGCCCCGCCGGGCGGCAGACTTCACTTGCCCAGAGGAGAGTGAGAGAGAGGAGGAAGGGAGAGAAGAGGAGAAAGAGGGTGATGATGTGGTCTTCCTGATATGTGGGTTCCACGCTGACTCAGCTGCTATATCAGATAAAACCGAGTTAAAACCGTCTAAGAATCCTCCTAGTTCCTAACTTATCCAAGGTTGTCAGGATCGAGATACTAGGTAGTATCGTTTTGTTTAAAGTAATATCGTATCGTAGTATCGGAATAATATGAGATTTTCTTTTTTAAGTTTAATTAATATTTATATTAATTATATATAGCCATTCTATATAAAATAAATGTAGTAATGATATATGTCATGCAAATAGAGACATTTATCAAAGAAAAACCACGTTGGTTTTGATATATTTAACTGATTTTTATATAAATTTGAGCATATTTATTTACATTATTTTCAAACCATGTTATTTTAAATAATATTTTGTAGTGTCGTAGGGATCGTAGAATCGGGTGTCGACGAGTGATACTCGCGGACCAGATGAGTTGAGTATTGGGGTACGTTGGAGCAGGGGTCTACGTAGTACAACATCAAGCAGACAAAAGACAAGGATTATACTGGCTCAAGCCCCTTATCAGGTAATAGCCATAGTCCAGTTTATATGAGATTGATGATGGTGAGAACAGATTACAAAGAGAATAGACGAAACGGATGATACCGATAAGATCGTAGTCGATGAGTTCGACGAGATCTCCCGGCGACTTGGCTCCGCGCACTCCGGCTTCGTAAACTATGGTGGGTGTGTTGGCGATGGAATTGGATGTCCTCACACCCCTCCTTGAGGGTCCCTTTTATACCGTGGATCGTATTGACCCCTAAGAAAGATTCGAGGATATTTGATCTGGTACGGTATAACAGAAACTCTATACATTTCCGAGTAGGACTTTGGACATCGCTTGACTCGTAGAGATAATTTCCATAATTTGGAACGGATTTCTACCACGTACACGGGAACGATCCGTATACGTGAAGGTATACCATATTCGTATATTCCATAAGTCGTAGGATAGAAGGTATGCCTTATCTGTAACCCTAACATCGGGATACTACCTAAGATTTCGTTGGATCGTGTAGTAATGAATAGTAGGATCGAGATATTATGAAAATTAGGATTCTATGTGTGATCGGTATCGTTTCGGCTTGATAGGATCGTAGTATCGTAAGATATTCGAATACGAATCGGGATACTGACAACCTTAAGGTGCGTGTTTTTCAAAAAGTTTATATATAAAAGTTGCTTTAAAAAATCATATTAATCTATTTTAAAAGTTTTTTTTTACAGCTAACACATAATTAATCATGTTTTAATCTATCGCTCCGTTTTACGTGCGGAGGGGAGGGATTCCCAACCCCTTCAAAGGAACACAGACTAACCCGGATTTGTTAGTCGAGGGATGACAAGATAAGGAACCTCGTACTCCTTCCGTATTTTAATGTATGACGCCGTTGACTTTTTAACAAACGTTTGACCTTTCGTCTTATTCAAAAAATTTATGTAATTATAATTTATTTTATTGTGACTTGATTTATCATCAAATATTCTTTAAGCATGACATACGTATTTTTATATTTGCATAAAAAATTTGAATAAGACATGTGGTCAAACGTTGTTTAAAAAGTCAACGGCGTTATATATTAAAATATGGAGGGAGTATATACTTTTTCAAAATTCTAACCCCTGACGGCGGCCCGGATACGGGCGTCGGGCCTTAGCCCAGTACATCCTAGACAGATCGAGCCCAACATAATCCGTGCCGAGCTCTTTTCGGTTCCGACACGGACTCCGCGCTCCGAATCGTCGACTGCCTCGTCGCCTCACCGCGTGCCTGCCTGCCTATATAACCAGACCCCTGGCTGTCTACTTTTCTCATCGCGGCGGCATCAGCAGCAGCAAGAGTCCTCAACGTACTCATCGTCCACGCGTACGCACGCACGTACTCTAGCAGCCTAGCAGGCAGAAGCCACGAGCAGCCAGAGCTTAGCCAGCCATGGAAGAGGACGAGATGAGGATGAGAGAGAAGCTGGCCACGATGGACGAGAGGCAGGCGATGGCGATGCGGCTCACCTGGATCTCTGAGCTCGTCGCCAGCAACAAGAAGTCGATCGCCGGCAACAAGGCCTACATCCTGGCCCTGATCGACGCCATCGACAACGACCGGTGCCCGTACACCGCCGCCGAGCTCTCCGACAAGATCCGCGAGCTCCGGGAGGACAGGGTGACCGTCATCCTCCCCGCGCAGGCTGTCATCAAGACGATGATCGACTCGGTGCGAGCAGCTACGCCCGCCGCCGGCGGCGATGGTGGTACTCGTCGTCGTGGCGCCGACGACAACTCCGGTGCCATTGGCTGTGGCCCAACTCACCAGTCGCGGACGATCAGCCGGTAGAGTATGTAATTAGGATATATGTAACCCATCGCTGTCGATTTAATTTAGCCAGGAGTAGTTTCTTTTTTCAATTACATACTCTACCATGCAATGAAGGGTGTGTTTAGTTCACACCAATATCGAAATTTTGGTTGAAATTGAAATGATGTGATGGAAAGCTGAAAGTTTACGTGTGTAAGAAAGTTTTGATGTGATGGGAAAGTTGGAAGTTTGAAGAAAAAGTTTGGAACTAAACAAGACCGAAATGTGGCATTGTTGATTATTGATCGTGCTCGATATATCAATTAAACGTACGGTCCATGTTGGAATATAAAGTAAATTGCCCGTCTTTACTCATCAGCTTAAGCTTTTGGGTTAAACTGGTCGATGCATGCAACTTAATATAGTATCAGAGCTAAATGTCTCGAGTTCGAATTCTGGCTGGCGTGCAATTAAATAAAAATTTCAGCATACTTTTATTCCACGCTAGAGACTTGAGGGGGCCTCGCGTGAGGGAGACGTACGGTGCATGCAACTCAATAGTTCATGATCTAATAGTAAAATTACTTGCGTGATTGAGTTACAAGATGATTGTCACAAGCACTTGACAATGACGACATTTACTAATGTGAATGAAATAAACTTTACATGCGGATAAGTATTTGGCACTTATTTGAATACTAAAATAAGTAAAGCTTAATTAATTTAAACTCCGGTTAGAGTAATGCGTGAGACTTCGGTTCTTCTATCTCACGTATTAAACTGGGAATATGAATGAATGAAGGATTAGCAACAAACACCTTCACAGCTGGTTGATATGCGAATATGCGATTGTAATATTTCCTAAGTAGTCTAATTAAAGCCAAACAACAGATAGTTTAGGCCTCTGCATGCTGGCTTCCAAGAAAAATACAAATGAACCAAACTCTCACTCATGGCCAATGGTACTACCTGTAATCTGTGCACAGCTTTTGTAACCACTGTATCATTAGTGCAACACAGCACTTCACCCCCTGCAAAAAATCTAGCTAGAACAATCACGTTAACCCAGCTGAAACAAGCTGGCAAAAGCAAAAACAAGGCAATCAAGCAAAGTCTATCTCAGTTTTTGACAACCTATCTCAACAAGCTGACAAAAAGGCCACACAGCCCACACACAGAACACAGGACACACCGTACACGTCCCAACACAACCAAGCCCAAACAAAAAAGAAAGAGAGAGAGAGAGAAACGCAGAGGACGCCCTCGCGATCCGGCAACGCGCCACGTAAAGCGGGGTCACGACACGACACGAGTCACGAGTCCCCGGTGACTCGGTGAAAAACCGTGAAACCAACGGGCCAAAGCGATCAAGTGGACATCACCTGCCTCCATATGTAAATTTACACTAGCAAAATGCCCGTGCTTCGCTACGGGTATAATGGAAGGTTAAATGCTATAAATACACGGTTAACATGTATGTAATAATATTTCAAGATAGATAAATTGTTCATTGGGTTAATGATAATCAAGACTAATAAGAAACACCATTGCATATTGATATAGTACTCATATTGTCATAACACAAGCTCTCTCTCAACTCTTGCATGGCACGCGCATGATATTACTTCTAAAATCCAACACGGATTCGCGTGGAGACGAATCGCTTAACAGCTCATGCGTGGACGATAGATGGTGCGGACTCTAATATGTCGTGTTTTGCAGATGACGAAAAGAAAAAAAAATTATGTTTAATTTTCAAATTAAAAACTGGTTCATTATAAGATTTCAGAATCACTAAATATCTGTTGAAGAAAGAGGTATAAAACTTTTGACTTTTCAGCCATCGAATGTGCATGGTCTGTGCTAATGGTGGAGAGAAAAAAAAAGGATGTGCATGGTCCGTGCTAGTGGCGGAGAGAAAAAAATTGCACGCAAATAGGATTTGAGATATGGAGACAAAGTAGACTTATTCCGAGTAATAATAAGTGTAAAAGTTTTAGGTAGGGTAGGTCAATCTGGCCTAGGAGAGGCCCATAGACAGTGCGAGTAATAATACAAAACTCCTAATTAGTGCATACGCGTCGCGAATTTAAGTGGTGCGCGTTTTGAGCCCATCCATCGCACAGTCGCGTGCGACCTATTTTCCTTTTTTTATATTATCTTTTGTTTCGAGACTTCTTTTTCACGCAGTTGGTTGCCACATTGTCTTCTCTATTTTTTCGCACCTCTTGCGCAAGGAGTCGGATAAAAATTGAAAAAAAAATTCGCACAGTTGGTTGCTACCGTGTCTCCTCTTTTCTGTTTTCGCACCTCTTTTTTTCCTTTTACGTAATTAGTTTCCAGTATTACCATCTACTTTACTTCTTCTCTTTTTTACTAAAAATTAAAAATTACTTTAATAATTAAAAAGTTATAAAAAAATAAGCTATACCAAAATTGAATACTTTCACTTAAGATTTCGAAACTTCAACTCGAATTTCGAAAACTTTCAACTACATATTTGAAATTTTCAACTATTCTTTTAAAAGTTTTAACTAAATTATTTATGTGTTTTTTCTATTGAACTTTGTTTTTAGTGAATTCCCTACCTGTTATTATCCTAACTTACCGCATAAAAAAGGAAAAAAAAAGATAAAGCGTCGGGAGGAATTTTTTTCCCAAGAAAAAAGCGAAAAAAAAACAAATAAAGAAAAATGAATCAATAGGTAGGAGAGAAACTTAAATGGGCCAAAGCCTGTAATAATAAGAGTAAAAAGGTGAGGGTGGCGGGAACGAACCCTGGTGGCCACAATGAAGATTTTCTTCACTAACCAAGTAGGCAAGCTGCTACTTGTGATCACATGTTACATCAATTAATACATATCCTATATTAACCTAGTTTTGAGGTAGATCCAAAAGGATCCATCCCGACTATTGAGCGGATTAAAACAATTTTAGCAACATGATTCTGATTCGGATGACGGACGAAAAAACCATACGGAAACCTTACGAATTTTTTTATTAGGTATAGATGTCATTATAAACTTTTTTAAAAAAATTCAATAATATAGTTTATGATGTAATATATCACTTCACAAACCCATAACATTGCATGATCAAATTTAACTTTCTACATTTTACAAAAAAAATAAAAAAAAATAATTTTGAATATACGTTAATTAGTTATAGTTTGCGAAAGAACATGTATTAACCTGATTAGCGCCTCAAGATCGTACGTTCAAATCTCCATTTGAACGAATTTTAGATTGAGTTATTTGAGAGCTAAATTTTCAATTTAAACAATTATATATATCCGGTTAGATGTACATATCGGATAAATAATACCCTTTTTTAAAAAAGGATTAGTTGTAGTTTAATTTATTTTTCCATTGTGATTTATAAAAATTGAATTTGTGAAGTGAAATGCAAATGGCGAAATGACATTTCTTCGTTTAGCGTGAAGCAACGGAGAGAAGGAACGGAAGCGGTGGGACGCGCGCGCACGCCACGCGCGTAGCGAGAGCGAACCAGCTCATCCACCCCGCGATCCGTTTTTGCTGTGCCCCACCGCCTCAGCGCCTCTCCCTCGCTTAAAACCAAACCCACACACCCACCTCTTCTCTCTCTCTCATCGTCTCCGCGACTCAGCCCACTCCTCTCTCTCCACCACCACCACCACCACCACCACCGCCCGCCAAGCGCGGCCCGCCCGACACAGCAGCAGCAGGATCGGCGGAGAGGAGGGGGGATCATGGCGACGGCGGCGGGGATGGGGATCGGGGCGGCGTGCCTGGTGGCGCCGCAGGTGAGGCCGGGGAGGAGGTTGCGGCTCCAGCGGGTGCGGAGGCGGTGCGTGGCGGAGCTGAGCAGGGACGGTGGGTCGGCGCAGCGCCCGCTGGCACCGGCGCCGCTGGTGAAGCAGCCGGTCCTGCCGACCTTCCTCGTGCCGACGTCGACGCCACCCGCGCCCACGCAGTCGCCGGCGCCGGCGCCGACCCCGCCGCCGTTGCCGGACTCCGGCGTGGGGGAGATCGAGCCCGATCTAGAAGGTACGTGGCTTGTCTCGTGCTGATCCTCCCTCTCCTCCCGTATCAATGCCCGATCCGTGCAGTTCCATGCGCGCCTTTGATCACTTGATTAATCGAACAAACCCTGCGGATTAATTACCACGCGAGAAATTGGAACCCCAATTCGAGCACATCACTAACAATTTTTATACTGCACATATACACAATATATATATTTATTGGATCGCGATATGATGGGGGTGGCGATGGGGTGGGCACCTGGGAGGTTTCGAGGCCTGTGCACGTGGCTGGGTTTGAGCAGACACGCCATTGATGTAGTAGTATTTGATATCGTAATTTAGTGGGAAGAGGAATGGTGAGGTTTGGTGTAGGAAGCGTTGGAAACTGAGTAAATTGACGACTTTGTCTTTTCCTTAGGCAAGTACGGAGTATATGCGATACTCAAGTTGGGAGTTCAATTCTCAGCCGTCAACTGAATTTTCTGTAGAGTGACAGTAGCATTTCGTAATTTTCGTTGCACTGAATTGTGGTCGATGGCGCCATTTTCTGTGGACGGTCCATGTGTACCTAGACAATCACATGGGCGCCTGGGACCAATATGTGCTTTTCCTATCACTAGACCCACCTCGCTATCTGTTGGATTCTCTGGGCTGCCACCAATATGTGTTTCCTGATTATATGACGTACTCTCACCTCACCTCACCTCTCTAAAATCCAATTATTTAGAGGGCAGAAGGGAGCAATGACAACCTGAATTTGGCGTTATTCAGATCAGAATGTTGTTTGCATTATTGTAATGCTCCCATTACTGCTGTACTGCCATGCCAAGATGTGGCTAGAAAACGATAATTATTTATGTTTCTGCTGTATTTTTCTTGGGCCTCTCGGCCAATACTATACCATATGAATATCTTTTATTTTGCATTCAGGTCTCACAGAAGATTCCATCGACAAAACAATTTTTGTGGCTAGTGAGCAGGAGTCTGAGATCATGGATGTGAAGGAGCAAGCTCAAGCTAAAGTAACACGCAGCGTTGTCTTTGTAACCGGTGAAGCTTCTCCTTATGCAAAGTCAGGTGGACTAGGAGATGTTTGTGGTTCACTGCCAATTGCTCTTGCTCTTCGTGGTCATCGTGTGATGGTTGTAATGCCGAGATACATGAACGGGGCCTTGAACAAAAATTTTGCAAACGCATTTTACACTGAGAAGCACATTAAGATTCCATGCTTTGGCGGAGAACATGAAGTTACTTTTTTTCACGAGTATAGGGATTCTGTTGATTGGGTGAGTATTCAATCTCCTTACTATTTTCTGATGAAAACAACTATCTGCTTATCTTTTTTGTTCTTATCCCACTGAAGACATGATCATATCATATTCTGTACTCTGTTTCTATGTCTTACTGTCTATACACTTGTGCACTGGTTGATGTCTGGTGTTTCCAGATCAAAATGCAAAAGATTCCTTCATATGACTTAATGTATCCATTTTATGTCTCAAGCATTTGTGACTTCTGTTTGCAACAAGCACTTAATATTAATAAGTTGTACTGTTTGGCTTTTCCATTGCATTAATAGTCATCAGTAACATTGTAGTTATATCATGGGAATTATGTACTTCAATCGCATTTTTATTTCTTGAAAGTGAACATGTGGGTTACATTGAAACATGTATTGTCACAACTGGTAATAGATGTAGATGGCATGACATGATAATCATTAAGGAACAAGGATGTGTATAACCTAGGAGGAAACATTTCTAGCATTTTTGGTTGCAAGATTGATTCCTTGTTGAGTTTACCAAATGTTTACTTATTCCTATTGGAACTTGGTAGTGTTCACTCCGCAGCACCATCACCCATGACACAACATGCTGATTGTAGAAAGCATACCTGCATTTTGGGTACTTATTTTTTTGTTACACCTCACTTCTCCTGTTCAGGTGTTTGTTGATCATCCCTCATATCATAGACCTGGAAATTTGTATGGAGATAATTTTGGTGCTTTTGGCGATAATCAGGTATTCTTACATCAAGATCCTATTTGACCAGTCTAAATTATATCACATTGAGTCATTGATTCGACTTGACTTCCCTATATACTGCAGTTCAGATACACACTCCTGTGCTATGCGGCGTGTGAAGCCCCATTAATTCTTGAACTGGGAGGATATATCTATGGACAGAAATGCATGTTTGTTGTGAATGATTGGCATGCCAGTCTTGTGCCAGTGTATGTTCTGGATCTGAAACTCTGCAACCAAATTGATTAACATTGAATATCTCTTATAAACCATTTTTTTCATACGTTTGCTTTGTGTTTGTGTGTGTCTATGTTAGATAAGAGGAACAAAATATTAGATTGAGTGAATAGGAGGATTTTCTCAATCATTTTTTTTCTCAAAAGCGCAGGAGAACTGCGATTCATTTCATTATTTTCTCAATCATTTTGATATTTCCAAAAACATGAACAGTCCAGTACATCATTTATGTGTTTAAATGATTTAGTTTTGTGCTACACTAGTTCATAGCTGATCTGAAAATCTCCCTGCCTATGTTTTTTTTGGAATATTTCTGAGCTAGTGCGAAGTTTCTTATTATGGTAGTGCCTATTTTGAGTTCATCTTCTACAGATACAATTCAATACCCAAAGGATTTGGGAAAAATCCTGTAGTCTAAATGGCCTATCATGCTACTAGGTGACTGAGGTGATAGTTTGCAACCCTCTAATTTGTGGTAAATTTAAACTGCTTGTTTCACACCATAATTTGATGTTATAATTATTAAGAGAGTGCGTGGTACATGCTTTCTAACTTCTAAGACACTTCAGAACAACATGAGGTTAATGGTGTAATGTCTTTCGCTGCATATTATGAATATGGTTTGATCCATCAGATGCTACATTGCTACTCCTTTGTTTTGGCATGTTCCTCACGGTGGATAAGATACTAATGCCAGTGAAAAACTCATCACACTTATTTTTTAGTCCCTTTTTACTTCAATGCTGAATGTTAAATTGGTTTTCCTTACATATCAATTTAAATATAACTTTTATCTTGTTTATCCAGCCTTCTTGCTGCAAAATATAGACCATATGGTGTTTACAGGGATGCCCGCAGTGTTCTTGTCATACATAATCTAGCACATCAGGTTTGAGCCTATCATTTTGCATATCTTTTAAGTAGTTTTGTAATGGCACTTTGTAAGTGCAGTATGTTAGTATTTCATTGTGTTTCAATGTGATAGGGTGTGGAGCCTGCCAGTACATATCCTGACCTGGGATTGCCACCTGAATGGTATGGAGCATTAGAATGGGTGTTTCCAGAGTGGGCAAGGCGGCATGCCCTTGACAAGGGTGAGGCAGTCAATTTTTTAAAAGGCGCAGTTGTGACAGCAGATCGAATTGTGACTGTCAGCCAGGTGAGATTCCTTCCTTTTCGTCTACTAGTTGGCTTACGGCCACAGTCAAAATTTGAAATTTGAACTTAACCTTAGAGTTGATTTTTTTTTCCCATCCTAGTCTATTTTTATGCCTTGGCTTTTAAACCGCAAATTCTTCGTTCATTTTGTCTTGCACTCAATTAAGGAATCATTTATGTTTCATTACCAGGGGTATTCATGGGAGGTCACAACTGCTGAAGGTGGGCAAGGCCTCAATGAGCTCTTAAGCTCCCGGAAGAGTGTATTGAATGGTACCTATATTTGGGTTTTTATATTTTGTTCTTGGACTGATCATTGTAATAGGGTGGATGATACAAATTAATTCAATCTATTCCCTGGATATGTAGGAATTGTAAATGGAATTGACATTAATGATTGGAACCCATCCACAGACAAGTTTCTCCCTTATCATTATTCTGTTGATGACCTGTCCGGAAAGGTGAAGTATAGTACCATGTATATACAGATTGTCATCTCGTTTCATTTTTTTCTTTGCACCTCGTCGTTTCTTTCACAGACTAATTTATGAAACCTCGAATTCATGTTTAGGCCAAGTGTAAAGCTGAATTGCAGAAGGAGCTGGGTTTACCTATAAGGCCCGATGTGCCTCTGGTTAGATACAAATATTTATGAAATTATTTATTTTAGTATTCTTTTATGGGCAGTTGGATTTATTAGCTTTATTTACAGATTGGCTTTATTGGAAGATTGGACTATCAAAAAGGCATTGATCTAATTAAACTTGCCATTCCAGATCTCATGCGGGACAATATTCAATTCGTAAGTTCTGTTTTCTTTTTCTGCGTGAGACTAGAAAGTGAATGTGATAGATCTTAGTGTATATAGTAGTATATTGACACTTATATAGCTTGTTATCATGAATCTAAGGAATGTAATATGCAGCTATTGCTTTCATTGTGAACGCATATGCAAGTAAACTAGTATTTCAGATGCAAATATTAGTGCTATAAGAAAAAATGCATATGCAAGTCATAAAAGAAAGATAGCAGTAGTATAACTTGACCACTGTATGACTTATTAGCAACCATCCAGTGTGATATCAATTGGAGCACCTGCTTGGCCAGCCAGTCTGTTATTTCCACCCTTTATACATTTTGGGTACACTAAACAACATCTTCTGACAGACACCAGGGGACGCGTATACATGCAGACAAAAGGATCACCATTTATTAAGTCAGTAGGATCTAACTTGTAGGCAGCAAATGTCTTGATGAACTGCAACCACGTGCTTATCCCAAATACTTCATTGTTGGGGGTTTCTGGCTTTCAACTGGAGACTAAAACAGAGTAGTGTTTGTAGTGGGTTTTAAAAAATTTTATCCACATATTTTAGCCAACAACTGAAATCGATTGATCAATGACACCTTTTAATACTTCTTTTTTTCTTAAAAAAAATGACACCTTTTGTTTTTTTTGTTATAGGTCATGCTTGGATCTGGTGACCCAGGTTTTGAAGGATGGATGAGATCCACAGAATCAGGGTACAGGGATAAATTTCGTGGATGGGTTGGATTTAGTGTTCCAGTTTCCCACCGAATAACTGCAGGGTATGCAAAATAACTTCGCCAATAATAGTCATTTGTCAGCTAAGGATGCATTTACATTTGAAATCTCAATTAATTTTGCTGATAAAGTTACATTTGAAATATTGATGCCTCTATTTTTGTACAGTTGCGATATATTGTTGATGCCATCCAGATTCGAACCTTGTGGCCTCAATCAGCTATATGCTATGCAATATGGTACAGTGCCTGTTGTTCATGGAACTGGAGGCCTCAGAGTAAGCTTTCCTATAGTGTGACACTTATGTCAGCACAGCACCCAAGGCAGAGCTGCTCACTTTTTTTTATTTATTCAACAGGATACAGTGGAGAATTTTAACCCGTTTGCTGAGAAAGGAGAGCAGGGTACAGGGTAAGGAATGCTTCATTAAAGTAAAATTGCAGATTTATTTTATTTTAGTGGAATTAATTAAATTCAATTTTTTTTTGTATATTATTCAATTTATAACCAATTAATTTAACTGTTGCTACTTGGGACATATTGCAGGTGGGCATTCTCGCCACTAACCATTGAAAAAATGCTGTGGGTAAGTTTATGTTGAACCTGCACCTAGTTTTAGTTCTTCTATCCATTCCTTAATCCCATTATATATGCCATACAACATCAATACTATTGGCCCTCTTAACATCAATAGCATGATGATTTCAACTATGCATTTTGGTTGTATCGTATACTGCTATTTTTCTTGCCGGTAATCATAATGTAGTTTGATTCTTGCCAGAAGTAAAAAGGATAAAACAAGGTGAGGCTCATGACGTATGTTCCAGCCAGTTCTGGTTATTGTCTGGTATTCCAGTAGGATTGAACTCCTAGTACTTGTTAGTTTTCAGATTTAAGTAAATATTATAAGAAAGAGTTGACAAGCAAACTAAAGAAAAGGAACACACGTGATTGAAATCCAAAGAAGAAAGCGGCTCAGCACTTGGTGGGTTAATGGGAAACTGGAATTAGTGGGGAATAGAACCCTGAAGCATATATGTGCTTAGGTTGCTAAATTGCTCGACTGACCAGTCCATGATTTGAATTGCATGTTTGGTACATACTTCGAATGTGGAAACAGGGAAACAGGGCCCATTTTGTGTCATTGAACACTTCAAATGAAACTGATAAAAAAATGGATTTGACAAGGAAAGATTTGCATTGCTTGTCTACAATTTAATGTGAGTACTAGTCAGTTTTGTTTTGCCTTGTACTCAAGTAGTCAAGATAATAATTAGGGAAAGCTACAAACTTTGTTGAGAAAACATTGTAGAATCAGTAATAAAAGCCTCATTGAAAATGGTATTTTCAGGGCACAAGCATTACACCATATGAACTTTTGGAGTATGTACTAAAAATTTGCATCGTTTCTTGCAGGCATTGCGGATGGCAATTTCGACATACAGGGAACACAAGTCCTCTTGGGAGGGTCTAATGAAGCGAGGCATGTCAAGCGACTTTACATGGGACCATGCCGCCTCACAGTATGAACAGATCTTCGAATGGGCCTTCATGGATCAACCATATGTCATGTAAATGGATTTGAAGGAAGCAGCGAATTTCTCCGAGGACCCTCAATCTTCCTGTCTTTCATGAGCGGAATGAAAACTTTGTACACTACATGGAAAGGGAACCAGTTATGCAAAGTTGCAAACGATCACTCAAGGTTACCCTTGTAGGCCTGCTACTTGGCCAATATGGTTCCAGTGACCATATGCAGAGTCAGGTTCAGATGAATGGCACTTGTGAGTAGTGAAGAATAAGATGAGGATGCTTGAAGCGGTTTCACATGTGGCTGATACCACGCAAGCAACCTCTCAATGCATCGAAATGTGAGTCTTGGAATCAATAGGATTTAGCTCCCATCAATTACAGTTGTACCCTTTTTTGCTTAATACTTTGTCGCCTGTGCTGTTCTTATATTTGTGTGAAGATAAATTTTAGTCCATTAGGTAACTGTATTGTTGAGTCTTAAGGTGAAGACTAAATAGTGTTTGGAAGCTGTAGCTACTGCGATGTCAAGTGTCAAAAGAGATCTTGGAAATCACAAGGTGAAGACTAAATACTTCCTTCGTTTCACAATGTAAGTCATTCTATGGAAAATGCTAGAATGATTTATATTGTGAAATGGAGGGAGTAGTGTTTGGAAGCATGCGGCATCAGTCAGGTGTGCCTTGTGTTAGCAGGCACAGGCACTCGCATATGCAGCACATTTTTCCACCCCTTGTAATCAAATCAAGTTGCTTTATCCAATTATCCTTGGCGTGATGCCGTGATCACCTACCCCTTGTTATCTCATTAACCTGCTGTAAGGGCAATATGGCCTAATGGCATAGAGAAGAGCCTCCAGTGCTCCATACCTAGACGTCCAGGCATCTCATTAAGGTATCAATCCTTCATCTTTGTGAGTGACCAACCCAGATTCCCGTCCTTCGAAAAAGAGAGAGAAATGATTCATGAGCCATCAACGGATCGACCGCAAGATAGAAACAAATACTACATCTGTACATCAGTCCGTCGCGCAATATAAGGTATTTGACATTCTGTCTTTTTTAGTTTGTCCTAAAATGTATAAGGGATTTTGTGATCTTAGGATAATATTTTGTTTTTCGCCACTAATTTTTATACTGTTTTTTTAGCTGCTCATTTATTTCTTCCTATAAAATTATGGGGTTAGACACGTGTATCAAGATAACGGTAAAATTGAATGAAAAATATTATAATTGTTTGAGAAAAGGAAGTAGATGAAACATTATTTATAATTGGTTCAGAAAAATATATTTAGAGAAGTGTTAAAATCTGGGACCAAGGTAGAGAACATTGCTCAAAGCCTCGAACACACGAACCAAAATGATGGACATTAAGTTGGGAAGGAAAAATGTCTTCAATGCAATTTTTGTAAAACAAAAATGAGTAATTGTGAGAGGAAGGGACACAGTCCAATAGTCCATTACAAATGCTCACATGGAAGAAAAAAAAAACATTTCCTAATACTTTACCTTACTTCTCTAGTTGATCTTCTTTGACTACACCTTTCGTCATAAAATAAGTTATAAGTTTATTTATGGATTTCTTTATTCAACGTTTAACCGTATGTCTTATTTAAAAAAATACAAAAAATTAAAAGAAATAAATTAATCATCTAATAATAATAATAATAATAATAATTATAAAAATAATTATAAATAAGACGGATAGTTAAACGGTTAAAAAAAACTATAAATAAGCTTATTTTGGAATGGGGGTGTATCAATCACTACTCATCTTGTTCTGAAGAAAAGTTGGCGGAATGCAATGCAGCAACGTGCCTATTGCTGCTAGTACTACTGTAGGAGCCATTGGCTAGTACTCCTACATTCCTCTTCTCCCCTGTCACGTCAGCTGCCCTCCAGTTAAGTAACCACGTCACGAAAGGGATTACTGCAAGCCCATCGCCCCCCACATCCACGACACCGCTATAAATACTCCTCCCTCCCATCCACCACGCAATCAAACTCACCATCACCACCACCACCACCACCCATCGAACCAGAGCACGCACGCACGAGCAAAGCCATGGCGGCGTGGACGGCGGCGGCGGGGATGCTGGGGTCGGCGGCGTACACGCGGATGCGTGCAGAGAACCCGTCGGAGTTCATGCCGAGGAGGGTCCTCCTCTCGCACGCCGGCCTCGAGAACGAGATCGACCGCGGCAACAGCTTCTGGGTCAAGGCGGCGCTCGTCTACGAGTCCGTCACCGGCGACCACGTCGACGACCACACCAGGCACCTCTCCCGCGACCTCCTCCTCAACCTCGCCGCCTACTGCTGCCCCCACGTCCACCCCGACCCTTCACCACGTAGACCGCAGGCCCTTTCAGAAGGTCAGAGGCTTGTTAAATACTTACGTCGTCCCAAAATATAAGGACATATAACTGAATAAAACATTTTCTACTATTAACTAGCCACATAAGCCACGCGTTGTGTGGCTATTAAGACCCGTTTAAAATATGTGTATATATAGGTCAGTCCAACGGTGCCCTGTTGTTGAGATCTCCTTGATGGAAAAAATTTTGAAAGATTGCTCAAGAAAAAACAAACGTTATATATTTATGACAATAGAGTATTATTGTATGATAAAGGAATACTAACTTTTTTCTTCGTCTATTCTAAAATATATAAGGCATTTTTATTTTGAGAAAAATCAAAACATAAAAACTTGTCTAATGAATGGATTAAAAGTACAGGTTTGGATATGTGATTAATGTTATGACTTTTTATTTGATTTTTATATCATTATATAATAAAGTAGTATTGTTAGATTTTTATTTGACTATTTTTATATGGCGTCGATTTTGTAGGTATTGATAATAAACGAAAGAAAACAGTAGTAGTTAAAAGTATAATATTGGAAAGTTTGTTTGAGAAGGTAATTATATTTATATATATCTCAATACATTTTAAAATAAAGGGAGTAATTTGTACATATGCATACCTGGTAAAAAAATTAGTACAAATGCATATTAGTAATACAGATGTTCCAAAATAAGTTTATTGTTCACTCATCCTACACATACCAATACAAACATCAAAAGACTAAAATATCCCTACTTTATCTCATCCTAATATAACTATTTATCACTTTATCTACTTCCAATGCAATTATTCTTTACTTTTATAAACTTTGATATAATTATTACTAAAAATCAATTTATTTTGAGATAAATGGGATGAGCTAAAAATAATCTTAATATAGGACAGAGAAAGTACTTAACAAAAATGCTTAAAAGAAGACTTGCTACACTTTTACATATGCATATTAACACACATCATATAAGTAGACTATTTGTCTGCTGGATCGCGCTCCTCTGACGTAAAGTCAGAGGGACTTTGTCACTCCCACATGTCAGTGACAAAGTTCCTCTGACTTTACATCAGAGGAGACTCATCCTTGTCTGCTTAACCAACCGATCACTGATCACATATGGCAAGTACGGGAGTGACAGGAAGATGGGCGAAGCTTCCTGAAGCCTGTGCTTCTTTGCTTGAACGTGAGATGGAAGCGACAATAGAATTTTACTGAGCCTCAGACACACTCCAGATCCAACGGTTCAAAATGAATCTTTCTTCCATCGGATGGTCTGTATTTAATTGATGATGTGGCGCACTGAGATGATGAAAAACTTTAGTTTTTTCACTACTTTAGATATGAATCTGGATAGATAGTCCGTACTACTTCCTTCGTTTCACAATATAAGTCATTATAGCATTTTCACATTCATATTGATATTAATAAATCTAAATATATATATATCTATCTAGATTCATTAGCATCAATATGAATGTGGGAAATGCTAAAATAACTTACATTGTGAAACTGAGGAAGTAGTAAATATCACATTCAATCTTATTTCTTATATACTTTAACTCCTATTTTATTGCTGACGTTAACTTTTTAAGATAAATTTGACGATTTGTCTTATTAAAAAAAATTATGTAATTATCATTTATTTAATTGCGATTTGATTTATCGTCAAGTTCTTTAAGCATGACATAATTTTTTTATATTTACAAAAAAAATTAAATAAGATAAATGGTTAAACGTTTATCAATAAATCAACGGCGTTATATATTAAAGTCGTTCTGATCAAGCTTATAAAAATTATAGCAATATTTTCAATATAAAACAAGCATATTAAATGTTAGTTTTAATGGGACTAATTCAGTATTGTAAATGCTGATAATTAGAAAAAAAATAATACGACTTGTAATTGAAACGAAGGAAGTGTTTTAATGGAGTTCAAACGAACCCAAGAGCGTTGTAGTTGGTTGGAGCAATTTGACAAAATTTACTCGAATATTATGTGTCAGACGAGGATAAGAAGAAAGCGGAGGATGATCAGCTGGCGAAGAGGACGCAGCATCCCGACGAAGGCACGGAGGAGAACAAGCAGGTCATCGACGCCATCTTCCTCGTCGTCGGCTTCCTCCCGCGGCTCACCAAGGCGGCGGCGACTGGCGGCGGCAAGGGCGCCGCCGCGGCCGCCGCCAGGCGTGACGCCGTCGACGAGAGCTTCAAGGCGACGCACATGCAGGACATCGTCACGGACGTGATCAAGCTCGAGAACCAGCTCCCGATCAAGCACCTGCTCGCCGTGGCCGACCTCGCCGAGGCGGCGGTCCACGCCGCCGCCGGCGACATCCCGGGGCTCAAGGACGACGTCGCGAAGGCGCTCCGGGAATACAAGCTCGGATTCGCGCGCGCGAATTTCGACGGCGTGATCCGCTCGTTCTGCTCGTACTACTCGCCGTTCTTCTCCAAGGACGAACAGGCCAAGAAACCCGACGACGCCGCCATCTCCGGCGAGCTCACGCTCCTGGACTGCCTGCACGCCAGCCTTGTTCCGCCGTCGTCGGAAGCCGGCGGCGGCGCGGGAGGGGTGAAAGGCGGCAAGACGTCGAGGATCCCGACGGCGAAGGAGCTCCGCCGCTCGGGCGTCCGTCTCGAGGCCGGCGTGGAGGACGGCCGCGCCGTGGTCCAGTTCAAGGAGGACGCCGCGACGCTGCGGCTGCCGGCGCTGGTGTTCGACTTCAAGCTGGCCACGGTGGCGAGGAACCTCCTGGCGCGGGAGCTGGAGGAGCAGAGCAAGCCGGTGACCCGCTACTTCCAACTGATGAACGAGCTCGTCGAGGAGGTCGCCGACGTGAGGATCCTCCGCCGCGCCGGCGTCGTGCGCGGCGGGTCCAGGGGCGCCGGCGAGGTGCACGAGCTCATCAAGAAGATCGACGGGTACGCCACCTACCCGTCGGTGTTCATGGCCATGGACGTGCAGGTCGAGAAGGTGAAGGTGTTCCACGAGAAGCGGATGAACAACTTCTTCGTCCGCTACCGCCCCGCCATCGTCGCCGCCTCGTCGGTCGTCGCCGCCTCCGTCGTCGCCATTGTCGCCACCAGGAAGAAGCGTGGGTGAATTTAATCAAACAACAAATCTATTAATAACTTGTAAAATTCCTGGATCCATCCATTCGTTCATCTGCCATTGTAAGGCGTAATACTTGTAAATTATAATGACCTAAAATACCATTTATTCTCCCGCAAAAAAAGGCAAAACTTGAGAAAAACAAGGGAAAATTTGTAAATTACAAGCCAATTAATACTAGCTTAATTACCTATGTGCTTGCAGTTGCTGTTTTTTAAAGTATAAGCCTACTGATGTATTACAACGATTGTTGCGTCCATAATATTCGAGCCGATTAACCAAAGTTGTCCCAAAGTTATTAAGACGTGATGCCAAAAGGTAGAAAAAAAATACTGAAGAGGGTCGGTGTTTTAGGGGTTGTTTGGTTTGCTCCCAAAGTTTGCCATAGGTTGCCACACTTTATATTAGGCAAGTTTGACAAAGTTAGTCTATTATTTGGTTCATAGCCATACTTGTGGCAAAACTCCTTCTCATATATTATGACCCTACACGTCATCAACTCAACAAAGTGTGGATTTCTTTTTTAAAGCCACAACTTAGGCAAGTGTGGTATAAATGTATGGTGAATGGTGACAAACTTAGTATAGCATCCAAACAGCCCCATAATCTCCAAACCCTCCTAATTTCAAAACCAAGAAAAATAATTCAAAAGGGTTCGATTCCACCTTACTCATTAACATGGGCCAAAACTTCCGTGTCCGCGTAAATTATAGGCTTTTAATCTAGCCTAATTTCTAGGCCTGGTCGGTTCCACTGTGGATACGGCCTGATAGCACCGAGTGGATTTTGGACGTTGCACACTGCTGGGTCTAAAATCACCTCACGTTCGATCCAACCTGATGAGAAAAGGAAACTAAAAGAAAAAGAAAAAGGTTCAAATGGGGGTTCGGAGATTCCATAGATGCATTTTTTTTGCACGCGATTCGGTGATCTAACTGCTCGATAGTTCCACGCCTTCGCACGATAATGTCGGCGGCGTCTGAGATAAGATACTGCTATATTATGCCGGCTCGCCGCCATTATCAGCGGAATTGCCAGCGATCTCCGCCACTATATATTTGCAAGAAATATTTGCATTCCATCGGCGAACTCCAGCTATATATATTTGGAAGAAATATTTGCAGTCCCGACGATCTCTGGTGATATATATTTGCAAGAACTATTTGCATTCCCCCAGTGATCTCACGGTGACACAAGAAATATTTGCAATCGCAAATAATAAACAAATTAATCAAACACACACTACACACCACCATCGTCGTCGGTCGTCGCCGCCATCATCGTCATCATTGTCGACACCAGGAAGAAGCGTGGGTGAATTTAATCAAACATCAATCATCAATTAATACCTTGTAAAATCTGTGGATCCATTTATTCGTTCATTTGCCTTTGTAAGGCGTAATAGTTGTAAATTACGATGACCTAAAATTCCATTTTATTCTCCAAAAGAAGGCAAAACTTGAGGAAAACAAGGGAAAATTTGTAAATTACAAGCCAGTTAATACGAGCTTAACTACGTATGTGCTTGCAGTTGTTGATTTTCATTTCAAGTATAAGCCTGCATATATATTAAAATGATTGTTGCGTCCATAATATTCGAGCCGATTAACCAAAGTTGTCCCAAAGTTATTAGACCGTGATGGCTAAAGGTAGAAAAAAATACTAAAGAGGGTCGACGTTTTAATATCCGAACCATCCTAATTTGAAAACCAAGAAAAATAATTCGAAAGGGTTTGATTCCACCTTAGTCATCAACATGGGCCAAAACTTTCGTGTCCGCGTAAACTATGGGATTTTAATCTAGCCCAATTTCTAGGCTTGGTCGGTTCCACTATGGATACGGCCTGATAGCACCGAGTGGATTTTGGACGTTGCACACTGGGACTAAAATCACCGCACTGCCGATCCAACCTAATGAGAAAAAGGAAATTAAAAGAAAAAAAGGGGTCCAAACGGGGGTCGGAGTTTTTATCTCCGAACCCCGCAGATGCTTTTTTTTGCATGAGATCCGACGATCTAAGTATCTAACTGCTCGATACTTCCATGTCTTTACACGATAGTGTCGGTGACGTCTGAGATAAGATACTACTATATTACGCCGGCTCGCCGCAATCATCGGCGGCATTGCCGACGATCTCTGCCGTTATATATTTGCAAGAAATATTTGCATTCCCCCGGCGATATATATTTGCATTCCCGGCAATCTCCGGTGATATACATTTGCAAGAAATATTTGCATTCCCCCAGCGATCTCACGGTAACTCAAGAAATATTTGCAATCGCTAATAATAAACGAATAAATCAAACACACACTACACACTGCCATCATCGTCATGTCGTCCGTCGTCACAACCTCCGTCGCCGCCATTGTCGCCACTAGGAAGAAACGTGAAAAATTTAATCAAACAACAATCATCAATTAATAACTTGTAAAATTCGTCGACCCATTCATTCATTCATGTGCATTTGGCGTAATACTTGTAAATTACGATGACCGCAAAAAAGGGAAAAAATGAGGAAAACAAGGGAAAAATTGTAAATTACAAGCCAATTAATACGAGCTTAATTACGTATGTGCTTGCAATTGCCGATTTTTTTCAAGTATAAGCTTGCTGATATATTAAAACGATTGTTGCGTCCATAATATTCGAGCCGATTAACCAAAGTTGTCCCAGAGTTATTAGGCCGTTATGGAAAAAGGTAGAAAAAATATACTGAAGAGGGTCGATGTTTTAATCTCCAAACCCTCCTAATTTGAAAACCAAGAAAAATAATTCGAAAGGGTTCGATTCCACCTTAGTCATCAATATGGGCCAAAACTTCCGTGTCCGTGTAAACTATGGGCTTTTAATCTAGCCCAATTTCTAGGCTTGGTCGGTTCCACTATGGATATGGCCTGATAGCACCGAGTGGATTTTGGATGTTGCACACTGGGACTAAAATCACCGCACTGCCGATCCAACCTGATGAGAAAAACGAAATTAAAAGAAAAGGAAAAAGGTCCAAATGGGGGGTCGAAGTTTTTATCTCCGAACCCCGCAGATGCTTTTTTTTTTGCATGTGATCCGGCGATCTAAGTATCTAACTGCTCGATACATCCATGTCTTCACGCGATAATGTCGACGGCGTCTGAGATAAGATACTGCTATATTACGCTGGCTCGCCGCAATCATCGGCGGCATTGCCGGCGATCTCTGCCGCTATATATTTGCAAGAAATATTTGCATTCCTCCGGCGATATATATTTCCATTCCCGGCGATCTCCGGTGATATACATTTGCAAGAAATATTTGCACTCCCCCAACGATCTCACGGTGACACAAGAAATATTTGCAATCGCTAATAATAAACGAATAAATCAAACACACACTACACACTACCATCATCGTCGCGTCGTCGGTCGTCACAGCCTCCGTCGCCGCCATTGTGGCCACTACGAAGAAGCGTGGTGAATTTAATCAAACAACAATCATCAATTAATAACTTGCAAAATTCGTCGACCCATTCATTCGTTCATGTGCATTTGTAAGGCGTAATACTTTTAAATTACGATGACCGCAAAAAAAGGGGCAAAACTTGAGGAAAACAAGGGAAAATTTGTAAATTACATGCCAATTAATACGAGCTTAATTACGTATGTGCTTGCAATTGCTGATTTTTTTTCAAGTATAAGCCTGCTAATATATTAAAACGATTGTTGCGTCCGTAATATTCGAGCCGATTAACCAAAGTTGTCCCAAAGTTATTAGGCCGTGATGGCAAAAGGTAGAAAAAAATACTGAAGAGCATCGATGTTTTAATCTCCGAACCCTCCTAATTTGAAAACCAAGAAAAATAATTCGAAAGGGTTCGATTCCACCTTAGTCATCAACATGGGCCAAAACTTCCGTGTCTGTGTAAACTATGGGCTTTTAATCTAGCCCAATTTCTAGGCTTGGTTGGTTCCACTATGGATACGGCCTAATAGCACCAAGTGGATTTTGGACGTTGCACACTGGGTCTAAAATCACCGCACTGCCAATCCAACATGATGAGAAAAAGGAAATTAAAAGAAAAAGAAAAAGGTCCAAATGGGGGTCGAAGTTTTTATCTCCGAACCCCGCAGATGTTTTTTTTATGCGATCCAGCGATCTAAGTATCTAACTGCTCGATACTTCCATGTCTTCACGCGATAATGTCGGCGGCGTCTGAGATAAGATACTGCTCTATTACGCCGGCTCGCCGCAATCATCGGCGGCATTGCCGGCGATCTCTGCCGCTATATATTTGCAAGAAATATTTGCATTCCCCTGGCGATATATATTTGCATTCCCGGCGATCTCCGATGATATACATTTGCAAGAACTATTTGCTTTCCCCCAGCGATCTCACGGTGACACAAGAATATTTGCAATCGCTAATAATAAATGAATAAATCAAACACACACTACACACTAAACACTGCCATCATCGTCGCGTCGTCGGTCGTCACAGCCTCCGTCGCCGCTATTGTCGCCACTAGGAAGAAGCGTGGTGAATTTAATCAAACAACAATCATCAATTAATAACTTGTAAAATTCGTCGACCCATTCATTCGTTCATGTGCATTTGCAAGGCGTAATACTTGTAAATTACGATGACAGCAAAAAAGGGCAAAACTTGAGGAAAACAAGGGAAAATTTGTAAATTACAAGCCAATTAATACGAGCTTAATTACGTATGTGCTTGCAATTGCTGATTTTTTTCAAGTATAAGCCTGCTGATATATTAAAACGATTGTTGCGTCCGTAATATTCGAGTCGATTAACCAAAGTTGTCCCAAAGTTATCAGGCCATGATGGCAAAAGGTAGAAAAAAATAATGAAGAGGGCCGATGTTTTAATCTCCGAATCCTCCTAATTTGAAAACTATGAAAAATAATTCGAAAGGGTTCGATTCCACCTTATTCATCAACATGGGCCAAAACTTTCGTGTCCGTGTAAATTATGGGCTTTTAATCTAGCCCAATTTCTTGTCCTAGTCGGTGCCACTGTAGAAACAGACTGATAGCACCAAGTGGAATTTGGTGTCAAGATCAGAGATCCAAAGTGAACTTATTCTATTTCGCACGGTGCACGTTGGGTCTAAAATCATTGGACGGCACAATTACATCGGCCCGTTAGCTACACTGGGCACGGAGAACCAAGCGGGAAACATGGTCCAACCATAGAAAAAGAAAACATAAAAAGGAAAAAAGCCCAAAAGGAGTCGGATATTTTTATCTCCGAACCCGCCAGATGCACTTTTTATGCATGGGATCCGAAGGTTAGATAATATCGGCAGCGTCTTCTATATTACGCCGGCGCGTCTTCTATATTACGCCGGTTTGCTGCCGTCACCGGTGGCATTGCCAGCGATCTCCGCCGCTATATATTTGCAAAGAGATATTTGCATTCCCGGCGATCTCCGGTGATATATATTTGCAAGAAATATTTGCATTTCCCCCGGCGATCTCCGGTGATATATATTTGCAAGAAATATTTGTATTCCCTCGGCGATCTCCGGTGATCTCACGGTGACACAAGAAATATTTGCAATCGCTAATAATAAACGAATTAATTAAACACACACTACACAAGCACACGTACGTACGTAGACAAAGCTCGCGACAAAACTGTCAGTCTCAGAGCGCCGGGAACGGCTCGGCGGCGAACAGGTCGTCGCCGCCGACGTCGCTGAAGAAGCCGTCCACCTCCGTCCACGACGGCAGGTCGCCGAGATCGCCGTCGAGGAAGGACGAGCTCGTCACCGGGTGCTCGTCGTCGTTGGGGGCGTGGCCGAGGCGCGCCATGCAGTCGTCGTCGAACACCATGGGTGGCGGTGTCGGCTCGCCGAAGGAGATGCCGCCGCCGAACATGTCCTCGTCGGGCGGTGGGAAATTCAGGACGTCGCAGGTGAACGGGGAGATTAAGCCGTCGCCGGCGGAGATGCCGAGGATATCGGGGGCGGAGTCGTCTTCTTCCTTGGCCTCTTTCTTGGCCGTTGCGCGCGCCGGCATTGGGCGGAGCACGGAGACCGGCGAGCCGACGAGCTGCGACTCGTCGCTGGACTCGTCGTACCCGGACGCCGCGCCGGCGTAGGTGGCGCGCGAGGGAGGAGGCGACGGCGCCGCTGGCGTCATGGGGAAGTTGGTCGTGGCGGACGGCCCGCGCAGGCGGAGGGCGGCGTGGTCGTACACCCGCGCGGCCTCCTCGGCGGTGTCGAACGTGCCGAGCCACACGCGCGCGCTCTGCTGCGACACGCGGATCTCCGCCCCGTACTTCCCCCACGGCCGCTTCCTCACCCCGCGGAACTTCCTCTCCGGCGCCGCCGCCGTCGCGTCCATCGTCGCATCCACCGCCGATTCCGTCCTCTTCATCGGGCCGACACGACGTCTCTGGCTGGAGCTCGCCGCCGCTGGCGACATGGCCACCGGCTGCCGCGCGACGTGGATCTCGTGCACGAGGAGGCGAGCACGCCGCGGCGCGTCGTCCTCGCCATCGTCGTCGCCGGAGGAGTCCGTGGCGTCGTGGTCTCTGCAGAGAACCCGAACAACCCTGGGCGCGGGCGCGGCAACAGCCGGCGCCGCCGCCGCCGCTTCGTTGCTCGCCTCCACATGCCACCTCCCCCTCACAATCCTTCGCGCCTTCTTCTCCACGATAACTTCCACCATTGGGCTTGATCTCAAGCTCTCAACAAGCAAATTAATGGAGATGAAGGAGAGGTGGAGACTGATCGATCGATACGGTAGTAGTTGCAAGCAAATTAATGGAGATGAAGGAGAGGAGACTGATCAATCGATACGGTAGTAGTTGCAGTGCGAGAGAAAAGGGAGGGAGAGAGAACGAAGCTATACGAAGAGATTCTTAAGGCTCAAGAATTGCAAGGAGGAATTTTTATAGTATCTGGATCCTTGCAAAATCTTCAACCTCCTAATCACTCATGATTTGTTACATATGTACGTATATAGACTGTTGTCTCCCTCTCATTTTGACTTGATACCATCTATCCTTTAGATCTTCTTTCACCCATTGTTTGGGTTCTATTTTTGAGATATTTAACTTTTTATCAAGGATAATTAAGGACTCACATATTGGTCCGCATGTCATATATTGCATTGTAGAGATATTTAACTTTTTGTCAATTTTACAAGTGATAATTAAGGACTCACATATTGGTCCGCATGTTATATATTGCGGGTGACAGATTCTTAATTATCCATCTTAAAAGTGTCAAATAGTTAAATTCCCTTATTTTAATTGGTTGTTTGGATCAGTAAATATTCTTTAACCTTTTTTTTAGAAAAAAACAAAGTGCTCATCTTTAATCTCTTCGGCCACGTGTAAGCGGCACAGCTGATCGCACTCCCGCCACGCGACACCGCCTCTCGGCAAATGACTCACCGACGTGTGGGCCCATGCGGACGTCACGTGCGCAGTCTCGCTCGCGCGGTTGACCATGCAACAGTTGAGTACATTTTACAGCTGTTAAATCATCAGTTTATAAGCAAATCCGTAAAAACGGCGCGCTCCTCAACCACTCCTAATCATAAAAGAATCTACCCTTTTCTTCTGCTATATTGACCCTGAATAGAGGTTTGAAGAACAAATTGATTCCGAAAACAAGTTAGATATTTTGTTTGTCACAGCTTTAGATCACGCTGATGTAGAGTTTGTAAGTTAAGTTACAATATTTTGTTTTTTATATTTTTTAAGGAATTTAATCTGAAATAGGAATAAAATGGTTTTTTTCAAACATTATCAATTTAATGACATATCCATAAAAATGTATTTCTGGAGCTATGAATATCTAGTTCTAAATATATTGGATTTAGATCAGAGCTATGCAAACTTGCCTTATATATAACTCTATATAGCAGCTTCATAAGACTTGAAGAAAGAGAAGGTAATGATGTGAAAACTGTGAAACGTGAAAACGGATGAACATGCAAGAAGCTTCTAAACGATTTTTGAACGGGTTTTTATATATGAATTTTGAATTTCCTATAATATTGATTTAAATACATTTACAACTTTATAATAGTTAATTCACATGCTTGTGCTCTCAATAGTTATTAGTATAAATTATTTATCTATTTAGCCATTCAGCATAAAATTAACACACACGATTAATTGATGTGAGAAATTAATCTAATAATGGCCGGCCAAAGGTCTAAAAGGAATCAGCAGAGTTCTTCGCTATGACGAGATCAAGACATAACAGGACGAGCAAACCAATCAATCACTCCCTATATATGTATGTCTATTGACATAATCACAAAAGCAGCAGAATGATTAGCCGCCTAATGGACGCCCAAATTTGTTTCTTTTTCCCCTCTCAAACGCAACGTGCCAAAATCGCCAACGTACAGCGACATGTTTGAAGGAGCACGGACAAATTAAACGCATCATGTTTTAGTTTAGATACGCTTGGGAACAGAAGGTATACGCCAAATATCTACTTTTTGGCATCTCTTTAAAGAAATAAAACAGAAGAAAACTGTTGGCATTTTGCTTTCAACTTGTATCGAGATATAGAGCCGACACACTTCATGGAAAAAAGATGAACGAATAAATTTCGCACAGTTTTTTTTTTTACAAAAAACTAGAAATCGTAAACATGTTAGTAACGTAACAGAGCCAAAAATTAAAATTTGAAATTCAAATATAGAGTTGATTGCGAGATATCTTTTACCGTATAAGTGGTGTATTTTCCGACATGAGTTTTTTTTAACCATAACTACAAATTAATGAAACATGCATGCAAGTTTACCTACAAACTATTTGTATGGTCATTTATTTATATTTCTATGTCTTATTAGCTATAACTGAATCAATTAAACAGGAACGTTCCAAACGATCTACTCCATCTACTTATTTCATCCTATAAAAAATAAATCTAGTACAGGATATGACAATCACAATACTACTAATATGGATGGTAATAAAAACAAACTAGATGTGATGCATCCTAGTAATAAGATTATCACATCTCGAACTACACTCCCTACTTAGATTTTTTTTTATGGGATGAAAACTGCAAAGGCTTGCATCCAAGAAGAACTCATAGAAAGGGCTGAACAAGTTATAAAAAACTATAACTCATTATTCTAATAATCTAATATATGTATGATAAAAATTTTTAGTGGAAACTTAATGAAAACTCTCATGGTTGTAACATCGGTAGTGAGTACTCGAGGCTCTATCGCCCCCATGACAGATCCGCCACCCTCATGTAGGGGAGTATGTAACAACTGTGATCTAACTATCTGCGTATCTGGGAGAGAAAGGGAGTGAAACCCGGGCAATCTGAAGCCTGCATGCGCGATCGATATATAGCTAGGCCTAGCGCGCCTGACCGGACAACGCAAAACGCCAGCGCGCGCACGGTGACATGCAACGATCCAGAGATGCCGATCGAGCCGCGCGCGGGGCGAAACGAGCCGGTAGCCCGGCCGGTACGGTGGCCGGACGACCCATGCCGATCCCCTGCGCTGCAGCCAACGCAACGGACAAAAACGCCAGCCATAGAAATGGGAATCGAAGGCCATCGATCGAGCGCCGTTGCCACTCCACCTGATACATAATTGCATTATTTGTAAGCATCTGTATAAGTTGAGTATAGTAGAGAGAGAAATTAACTAGACTGGCCAGACTCGGTCGCCATCGCCATCGCCAGTTGCACGCTAATTTAACGGAAGAGTGCATGCATGCATCCATTGATAGGATAGACATGATTAATTCGCCACTTGGTCTGTTCGATTATGTTTCCACTCTTACTATTATTTTAGAAACACACTATACGAATACAAATACGGACGTTCATAACGCGCGTATACTGTAAGTACCTTATAAAAACTTGACCGATATATTTTGAAGATGATGAAATCACTACGAACGTCTTTGCTGCCGACATGTATATCACCTATCAATAAAAAAATAATTAACCGTAAATGCAAGCACCCATTTGCTCACATATCATGACATTGGAGCAATTGAATAAGTGCTATTTTTTTTAAGTAAAATACATGACTGTCTTTAAACTTGAAAGTAGCTGTCACTTAGGTCCGTAAACTTAAAAATTACACATATAGATCTGTCATCTTGGTTTAATGATTCGTAGCCAGTCCAAACCTCACTTGACTGGAGCTAACCGCTGACGTGGCATTCCACGTAGGCAACATATTTACAGACAACCCCCTCCACGACGACAAGTGGCAAAAGAATTAAAATTTGCCCCTTCGTGCTACAACAGCACCCTAAAACCCATAAAAATCTCTAATGGCGGTCCAGCGCAGAGCAGAAGGGGGAAGAGGGGGCGGCGCCGATCCGACGAAGGGAAAAGGAAAGGAAGAGAAGAAATATAAGGGTTACTGATGGTTGGGTCCCATAGGATGACTCAAAAGGTTAGACCAAATCAAAGTGCCACATTAGCGACCCTCCTAAACCTTGAAGGAGTCAAATTACACCAATTCTAATAGTTTGTTGATTCAAGATATCCAGTAGCGGTTTAGATATATGAATTAGATTGGAGATATATCTGAGGGAGTTAAACTGAACTTATTCCTACCGTGGTCGTCAACTTCGGATCACGCGGCCCACCCTCCCTACATGGCCCACCCTCGACGCACAGGCAGGCCGAGACCCACCCACCGCAAAGCCCGGTCGATGCGGGCCGAAGCGGCGTCCACGCGAGCACAACCCCAGCCCAGCCCGCCTCGTGATCCGGCCCATCACGTTGCCTTCTTCCTTCCCCGACCATGGCGACTCCGTCCACCTCTCCGCTCCAATTCTCCCCCACCCGCAACCGCGTCCTCCTCCATCCTTCCCGGCGAAGCGATCCACCGGCGGCGAGGCGCGTCAGCTCTCACCCGAGGAGCTCAGCCCCACCGGCGCGGGCGCGCGCGCGCGCGGCGAGGATGGACTACGACTACCGGGGCAGGCCGGGCTCCGGATCCTACGGCGGCGGCGTCGGCGGCGGCGGGGGGTCGTCGTCCCTCTACCCGCGCGTCGGCCAGCCCTCCCACGGCGTCGCCAACGCGCCCCCGCCGGAGCCGCCGCGGGCCGCGCCGTACCACCACCATGGCCCCCCCACCGTCTCCGCGGCTCCGCACCCCGTCCCCGCCTCGTCCTCCACATCGAGTAAATCCCTCCCTCCCCGCTCTGTGCATACTGAATCTCTGCATAGTGAATCGCTGGGTAGCGCAGAAGAGAGAACTGCGTGTCATGTTTACTCGATCGAATTGTGAACAGCTTATTCTACCTGATTGGATTGCGTGCTAGATTGGCAGATCTCATGTTGTAATCCGGTTGGAGGGGTATCGTGATCCCGAGCGATTTATCCCTGAAACTGAGCTAGTTTGGTTTTGAGTTGTGCATTGAACTTCTACTACCATTTGGTTTCTAGGTGGCTTGTCAGACCTACCAAGCTTGTTCATGCAGTAAATTGCCTCGATTTAATCATTTGCACATCGGTGTGATTAGTTAGTTCACCATGCTATGCTTCCTAGCTAGCAATGAAAAAGGGGACGTACCGGGCACTTGTATCAGCAACAACAACAGAATTAGATTAAACCTTGTCTTTGGATAAGGGAACGAGCTCTACTACTGTTTATATGTTCTAGTTGACCTCAGTATAGGCCTAAACATGGTCTCGTTATGTACAAAATTGAGTTCTCAAAAGTAACAGCTTTGTTTAGTTGAAAATGCTGTACTTTCTATATTTTAAAGTGTGCGAGAAAATCTGGCTTTTGCATGTGTGCGTTTTTTCACTAGCCAAAGACAAATAAATGCAACAGCATAGGGTTCTTTCTGCACCTTTGCTAATGAAACATTGACTGTGGGAGTGAAAACATTGAAGTGTTTGTTTTAATGGTGTTTTCAACATAGCCGAAGTTGGTAAAATTGTAGAATTCCCTGGGCCCATCGATATAATTTTTTTCCCAAAAGTTATTTGAAGACAAAAATATTGGAACATCCCTGTTTTTACTGTTGATATCATGCCAGATTTAGAAACTGCCCTGTAGCGTTTCCTTTTTTGCCAATTATCAAGAGCATGTTATTCATCATTAATTGTTGTTGCTGCAGTGGGCATACAAGTTGTGATAAAGCCAGCATATCGGATAACCCCTCCTGTAAGTCACTAAGTTTGTTATTCAGTCATCACTTTGCTGTATTCACCTACATGAGAATTGTTCATCTGCTTTGGTACCAAATTTTCTATTTTAATGCCTGCAGGATGTTTGGTATAAATTCCCTTTATGTTTAGTTAAGATTGGTAATTCAATTGGAGTAACTTGGTGTTTATTTAGCAAACAGCCAAACACTGTTCTTTCAGATTCAAATTGATGCCTTCTAACTTTTGTGTATTGAAAGCAGACATAAATCATAGCGTCATGATAGTTTTGAACTGCTGAAATTATCCTCCTTTGGCTTTTGAAAAGGAACGAAGATATTATGTTGCAGTGTAACAGGAGATATGGTTGTTTATAAACTGTCTCTCTGTATATTGGTTTGTGCTTCTGTGCGTAAAATTAGAGATGAGGAAATAGCTCCACTACAAATATTCACAAATAATGGACTTCTAGTAGCATTAGCTCAGGATTCACCTCTAGTTATTCAATCTGCATGGGGCTATTATGTTCTGAACGCTCACAAATCTTAATGGTCTAGTTGTTTCTTGATGGACTATTATGTTGTTAGAAGCCCATCGTAGAAGATATAGATAGTGCAGTTTATTCCGTATAGTAGACTTTGTGGATGGATTCTGTTTGTTCTTTTCCTTTATTTATTTATTCATTTATTGGCCATTCCATTCTTTTACTGTGAATATGGTGTTCTAGTTGGTAGCTTGCAGACATGATTCATACTATAATGGGCTCCCTCAAAACTTGTTCCATGTACTGCGCTTGCCTAGCTGTTCTTTCTAGAGACAAATGGCATCATCTTGCAAACTTCCATCTATTTTGCATATTTATGCATCCTTCTTTGTTAAATGCATCAACGTTTATTATCTACACTTCCCTCGTATATTTGATCATTGGCCATCCTCTAATGTGTGCTTTGCTTTTATTATTGCAGCCTCAGTTGCCGCCACAGCTTACAGAAATTCCTCGCAGTACCTTCAATTTTGATTTTGAGTATGAAAGGAAAATTCTTGCTGAGGCTGAGAAGGAGAACCCCAACTGGAGCAAGTTTGTGATAGAGAGTCAGCCACCACCACCACCACAGCCGCCAAGAGGCCCAAAACTCACAACTCCCACTACTTCTGTGGTAATAATATCTACATAATTCTTGTCTTCCATATAGTATTGTGTATTACACAAATAGTGCTAGGTACTTAACATCAGGGAGCAGGCTGTTGTTGAAAAATCGATAATCCATTGCAAGGGCTAATATATAAAGTTCCTTGGGCAAATGGGGACTAATACCCCTGATACTCAAGAGATTTTTCGCTTCTTGGCATCCTTTCACATGATAGCAATATCAGCTGTTTATAACAAGTTAGGTACCCTAGGAAGTTGTAGAGATGTAATGCCATCTCCCTAGAAAACTTATTTTTATTTTTGCCCTTCTGCAGGCTACTCCAGGGGATCCAGTTGTGGACAAGTATATATCCATGGGGCTTGGACGTGAAGCTGTCTCATTTGCTGTGTTGAACTATGGAGATAATCCAGCGAAGGCATGCTTTTTCCCTTATTTATCTTGTGATTTATCATTACCTTCTTTCAACATATCATCAAGAACAAAAACCATTGCTTTGATAACTCAAAAAGGTTTTCAAAGGTCAACAAGATAGCTATATACAATCAGTATTTGCAGAAGCACTAGGGTTTCTTCTTCTAGCAAAACAGTGATTGCCATTCTGTCCAGTTGGTAGTTTTTGTGGAATTCGATTTTCTACTTCTCAGGGAGATAGAAGTGTCTTCTGCCATTCTAATCGCCACGAGCATTTGTAGACAGTGGAAAAAAAAGAGAGAGAAACTGACAAGGATGAATCCTATGTACTTGCAGGTGAAGGAGTTTGTGAAATCCTACAACGCTCTCCACGAGATGGGCTTCACATCCTCAAATGTTCCCGAACTGCTGGCCATCCACGACAACGACCCTGACAAAGTTATCCAGCACCTGATCGGCACATCATAGTCCAGAACAAAACTCTCCACATATTCCCCCATGTATAGGTCCATCTTACGCTGGCAAGCGCCATACATGTCGCGTTTTTAATGATGGTTTCGAGTGCTAGCTATTGTACGCGTATTTCCGCTACGAGTTTCATGAACTGACTATTGTTGTGCTTCCCAAGCGGTTTCATAAACTTAACCTTGCTTTTTGTGTCGGATATATAGAGCCAGTAGGTGATGATTCTGATTGCTGAAACTTTGGTTGCTATACGTTTGCTACTCCTTTTTGGTCGATTCAGCAATTTCTTCCCGCCGTTGTTCAGTAAGCTCCGAACGCTGTGTGCTGCACAGCAGCAGCCAGATTCCTGTGGCAATTTGCTGGCTGGAGCTCACTACTGGATAGTTCATGTCCGTGGATGACGGTTGGTTGTCACTTGACATGGTGGCAAAATCACTCGTTCAATAACGTGACGAACAACTTCCAGATGGTAAGTAAACACGCTAACAATTACTACCTCAGTCCCAAAATAAATGCAGCCATAGTTTTCCACGCCCAACTTTAACCGTTCATCTTATTTAAATTTTTTTTAAAAATAATTTAAAACATAAGTCATAAGTAAAATACTGTTCATATTTTATCATCTCAGAACAACAAAAATGCTAATTATAAAAAAAATTCAAATAAGACGAATGATCAAAATTGAGTGCGAAAACTCATGACTACACTTATTTTTGGACGGAGGTAGTGCACCTTTTTGCATGCCTAAAGCACTGGTTTGGGCATACTCCGTATGAAACAAGCATATGTACTGTGGTGCTGCAGACAAGTCCAGAATATGTGTCGGCCGGTGACTGTTCCATCCACACACTAAGGCCTAAATGTCATTGAAGAACTTATCGTTTGATCTAGAATCGAGGATCACTGTTCACCACGCTATCTTTTTTCTGCTGAGGATGAGCTTTGCATCACTGGACAGCAACAACGAGCATGAACAAGAACAAACACCACAATCCATCCCCATCTCCTTCTCTCCCCCATAACGAAATCGTTGCAATGCTGTCTCAATTTCTCTCATTAAAAGAAAACAAAATCGTTGCAATGCCGTCTCAATTTCTCTCAGAAAAAGGGAAAAAAGAAAAGAAAAGAAAAAAGAAAATTACATTTCCAGCCCAACACCACGATCTCCCATCTCCTTCCTCTCTCCCGCTATAAAACGACGGCATGTCGCGCCGTCTCCCGCCTATCGCCGATCGAAGCTTACGAGCTATCTGCTCTTCTCTCTCTCTCCGCCATGAGGAGGATCACGTGGCTCGCGACGGCGGCTGCGGCGCTGTGCTGCCTCGTCGCGGCGGCGAGTGCGACGGCGCAGTGCAGGTTCCCGGCCGTCTTCAACTTCGGCGACTCCAACTCCGACACCGGCGGCTTCTGGGCCGCCTTCCCGGCGCAGCAGGCGCCGTTCGGTATGACCTATTTCCGCCGCCCCGCCGGCCGCGCCTCCGACGGCCGCCTCGTCGTCGACTTCCTAGGCAAGCACGTCTTCTTCATTCCTTCTCCTTCCTCTGCTCGCCGCGCCATGGATTGCTCATCTGAATAAGGAAATGGTGGTGTGTTCGTCTCAGTGCAAGCGATGGGGCTTCCGCTGCTGAGCCCTTACCTGCAGTCCGTCGGCTCCGGCTACCGCCACGGCGCCAACTTCGCGACGCTGGCGTCCACGGCGCTGCAGCCCAACACCTCGCTGTTCGTCACCGGCATCAGCCCCTTCTTCCTCGCTGTCCAGCTCAACCAGATGAAGGAGCTGAGGACCAAGGTGCTCACCTCCAATGGCAACAACGGTATGCTCGCCCAACGCCAACAGTGATGGTATCCTGTTCAGATTTCAGACAGTTCAGTCATGCCCTGCGTCAGTGCAGAGATTCTGCTGAATTTCTGAAGAGAATATTTAGGATAATTGATCTGAACAGTGATGGTTTTGTTTCAAGTAGTAACAATCTTATCTGCTACTGACAGAGATAGTATTGCTAATCTAGTTAAGATTAATTTTCAGACCAACTTCCTGCACCTGATGTTCTGCACAATGCTCTGTACACAATTGACATTGGTCAAAATGATCTCACCTCCAACCTGGGATCACAGAGCATTGAGACGGTCAAGCAAAGTCTCCCTTCAGTTGTTAGCAAGATCTCCTCTACTGTGCAGGTAAATAGTGCAAATTAGAATTTAGCTGAACTTGAGAAAGATAAGAGATTGGAGATTAATAATTAACTGCATATTCCATACTCACCTATTCGATTCTTCGCAGGAATTGTACAACATTGGCGCTCGCAACATTATGGTGTTTAACATGGCGCCTATCGGATGCTACCCGGCATTCCTCACGAAACTCCCGCATACCAGCAATGACATGGATGGATATGGTTGCATGAAAACCTACAACAGTGCAGTGACCTACTACAATGAACTGCTGAACAATAGCTTGGCCGAGGTTAGGAAGAAGCTGCAGGATGCATCTATTGTGTATCTTGACAAACACGCTGTGACGCTCGAGCTGTTTCGCCATCCTAAAGCTCATGGTATATGCTCTCTAGTAGTGGTACATTATGCAGTTTCAAGTATTACATGAATCAATCTTGCTTATTGTCAGCAATTGTTGTGATACTGATCTGATTGACCATGGTTTCAGGGCTGAAGTATGGGACTAAGGCTTGCTGCGGATATGGTGATGGGGCTTACAATTTCAACCCAGATGTGTACTGTGGAAGCAGCAAATTGCTGAATGGCCAAACGGTAACCGCAAAAGCTTGTGCTGATCCACAGAACTACGTGAGCTGGGATGGAATCCATGCGACAGAAGCTGCAAACAAGATCATAGCATCTTCCTTGATGAGCGGCTCATATTCATATCCACCTTTTGATCTTTCCAAACTTTGCCACCTACAGCCCATAGCATAATCACAGCACCAATCTAGTCATACTTAGTTGCTGAAACCAGAATATGACAGGAAAGCACATCTTCTGGAAAAGAGATGTTGTAAATAGTATGAAAGTCTCAGTAGTCAGTAGTACATAAAGAGGTTTGATATTCAAACCTTCAACTAAGAATAAAATCATGTTTATTGTATATCCTACTAATACACAGTACTACGGTACCGAGACTTGAATTGCAGATTTTGAGCATTATGAAACAGACTACAGAAGTATAGAGTACTTGCCTTTATGTATGAATATAACAGAGACTTGAACTGCAATTCTTTTCAATGCTTTTCCTTTTGAGAAAAACACTACTACTTCCAATCTTGGGGACAAATGCTGCAAATCCATACCAGCAATCGGAAAACTTCAGAACCATTTTGATTTCTGAATATCAAACAGAACAGGACAAGTACTAGGATAACCGAAATATTCAGTTCAGATCATCAGAATAACTTCAGAAACATTCTGAACATCACATCATCCAGTCAAAGGCAATCTGTTCACAGGATCAAGATGGACACAGAAATTTGGGGATAAAACAGATTACTTCGATTGCAATTTCAGAATAACCAGCAGTTACATTGCAACCATGGAAACTAAGAATCTAAGACTACGACATGACAAAGCGACGATCTAATAATAACACCAACTGGTAGAACATGACAAGTCCCTATGAATCAAGCAAGAACCAAAGGTGGGCTGATGGCCTAAGCGCGCTCGCCGCGGATCCGGCGCGCGAGCTGGATGTCCTTGGGCATGATGGTGACGCGCTTGGCGTGGATGGCGCACAGGTTGGTGTCCTCGAACAGCCCGACGAGGTACGCCTCCGCGGCCTCCTGCAGGGCGGCGACGGCGGAGCTCTGGAAGCGGAGGTCGGTCTTGAAGTCCTGGGCGATCTCGCGGACGAGGCGCTGGAAGGGGAGCTTGCGGATGAGCAGCTCCGTGCTCTTCTGGTACTTGCGGATCTCACGGAGCGCGACGGTGCCCGGCCTGAAGCGGTGCGGCTTCTTCACGCCGCCGGTGGCCGGCGCCGACTTGCGCGCCGCCTTGGTCGCCAGCTGTTTCCTCGGCGCCTTCCCGCCGGTGGACTTGCGCGCCGTCTGCTTCGTGCGGGCCATCGAGAAGGAGGAGAGGAGAGCTTGGCGCGGCGGAGGCGGCGGCGAGTGAGTTCTTTGGATTTGAAACTTGGCGGTGGTGGATTGAGGCGGTGGGATTCGGCGGTGTTTAAATAGGCGTGAAATTTGGGAGGGATTCGCATTCGCATAGTACGCGCGCAGTGAAAATGTTCGAAATTTGGGCGAAATTTTGGGGGTTTGGAATTTGGGGGAGGCGCGGCCCCGCGCGGGATGCGAACGCGATCCGCGCGCAGCTGCTCCAACCAATCACAGCGCAGAACTCGACCCCCCACGGATCGCGATCCGTGTGATGCCCCCTGGATCCAATCTGCACCGTCCATTCGCACGCAATCCAACGGCGCTGATTCCCCGCGGCCAAAATCCAAACCCAAAAAATTTTCGCGCTCTCAAATTCCAAACCCCAGCCTCCCCCTATATAAACGCGTCGCCTCCCTCGCTGTCTCAACCCACTCCGCCGCCGCCGACTTCGCCGCGAAATTTCTCAAATCCAAAGCTCCGCCGCGTCAAGCTCTCCTCTCCTCTCCTCCTCGATGGCCCGCACGAAGCAGACGGCGCGCAAGTCCACCGGCGGGAAGGCGCCGAGGAAGCAGCTGGCGACCAAGGCGGCGCGCAAGTCGGCGCCGGCCACCGGCGGCGTGAAGAAGCCGCACCGCTTCAGGCCGGGCACCGTCGCGCTCCGTGAGATCCGCAAGTACCAGAAGAGCACGGAGCTGCTCATCCGCAAGCTCCCCTTCCAGCGCCTCGTCCGCGAGATCGCCCAGGACTTCAAGACCGACCTCCGCTTCCAGAGCTCCGCCGTCGCCGCGCTGCAGGAGGCCGCGGAGGCGTACCTCGTCGGGCTCTTCGAGGACACTAACCTGTGCGCCATCCACGCCAAGCGCGTCACCATCATGCCCAAGGACATCCAGCTCGCCCGCCGCATCCGCGGTGAGCGCGCCTGATTAATTTATTAGTCGCTTCATCTGTGATAGCTCTAGTACCAGAATTGCTTAGTAGTAGTGATGTAATGGCTTGTTGCTGTTGCTGTCAATTGTTGCTCTGATTATAAATGGGAAATCTTTCTGATGTTCAAATCTTGCTATTTGTTTCACCTGCTTTTGTGAAATATTTGGTACTGTTTCACAGTCATATGATTAAGAGCTGTTTTACTGAATGCTGTGTTTATGTTGCATTCTGGCATGAATTATATCGACCTGTGTGTACAAGGCATACTAACAGCCTACAATTTCAACCTGTGTGTTATAAACATGGCTAACAAGTAACTACAGACAGCAAAAAATTGTTCAAAAGTACAGACAACAATTAAGAATTTTACAATATGAAACGCCGAGTTGTAGTTCACGCCATGTCGCGGTGTTCGCGTGCCGCGTTCTGCTGTTCGTGCCACCACACAATAGCAGAACGGAGTGCGCGATTGGGAATGAGTTCCATGTGTTCAAGAGGCAAGTTGGTAACTGGAGATGTGTCATGCCCAGCGTCGAGCCATGCCCTGATCGCCTCACCGTCGTAGGTGTGTCCATCCGCTGTAATGTAAGGATCCTCCATGACATGCTGAAATTTTGACCAAGCAAGGTAATAAGTGTAGTCAGGAAAGATTTTGTTTTGCATGACATCTAAAAGTTATTAAAAATTTTGGCAAGAAAGAATATTATGTAACATTGATTCACAAACATTTAAGCTTAAATTCAAGGCCAGTTGAAAAAAATAATAAATATGACTATAAATAGTGTTTTGGCTTCAAGTGATATAGGTTGAATTTAAACCAGCACATTTGTGAAGGTGCCATCTCCTCATATTAACTCATCATTTTTTATGATTGTTTGGATGACAAGAATGGGTGAAAATCCCCTGAAGGAAAAAAAAACAATTTGTACAATAGTCAATAGTTTCAGAAAATTGTATATAAAAAATAAGATGAACTGGAAAAGGAAAAAATAATGATCATTTTCTGCTCACCAGAAATATAGGACAGGTGAATGGCGGTTCGCGGTTTAAGATGGATTGTAGCCGTTCAAGTTTCTCTGTGCATTGTAAGAGTTGACATTCTAGATTCGCTTTATCCTCCCGGACTGACTTAAGTTCTGCATCGTGATTCATTGTAAGTTGTTCAATCGAGGCTTGAATTGCCATGACCTGCACAAACCAAACACATTCATATCATTCAGACATACATCGGGATTATTGATAGGTGTACTCAATGGCGCGCTGCATCCTACAGTTTTCAATTTTTGGAAAAAAAAATGTAATCGAAAAGTATTCTGATATGGGAATGATCTGCTCCAAGCTCGTCCATATCTTGGAATAGCAGCAGTGAATGCTGTTATACACTATAGAATCAAACTTTTTCACAATAAGAAACAATTGAGGATGATTGATGACATGATGTTACGCTTCTGGTCAAGCTAAACTTTTGCAAAAATAAATGTTCAATGCAGTGACATTTAGCAAATCGGTAATGGTTTTTACCATGTCTTCGTATTCCTTCCGTCTTGAGCGCTCCTCGGATAATTTGTCCTCATTTTTTTGTAGTTCTTTTGTTGCATGCTAAAAATAGGCATCCATTAGCTTGCTGATAAAAATAAATAATATTCCACCATATTAGAAGTGCTCAAAAAGGAAAAATATATGTGCTATGCGAAATGAGTTAAAATGAAAGAGAAAAGAATGCGTAATAGCCTAAGGCCGTTTTGGCCCACTGCTTCCAACCTTGGGAAGGTGTATAGTCGGCAATATAAGGTTTGTTTTTTTTTTGGTTGGGAGAGATATCGGGACTCGGGAGGTATATATGTTTTTTCCATTATCTGTTAACTAACCCTTAAATACCAATGAGAGTCAAAAATCTTCAATCCTATTTCCTCTTGTAGAATTAGTTTCGGTACCTCCTCCATAAGAAGGTACAGATTGTATCTTCCAAGTTGTGAGGAGCTATATTGGTATTACCCGAATTTGTGGCCACTTTGGCTGATTTTTACAACATTAGAGATAACCACACAAGCAATACATCCCTGTTAAAAGAAAGAAAGTAAATGGGTAGAATACCTTCAACAAGGTGTTGAGCCTGGTTTTATCCATGTTAATGCGCTCTTCAAGTCTAAACCGGACAAAATGTTAGTTCCAATAATAATAGCAAAATTTATAAGGATAACAGATGACTGGAAAGGTACCTTGCGGGGTAAAGATGCTGCGTGTAAGTTGGATAAGCACCACATTCAAGTTTTTGGCCTGTAACATTTGTACATCTTAATGGGACTTTTTTTTAATAACGAAATTCATTCCGAACTCTGCTTTAAAGAAGCTACAACTTCTAATTATTAGAGATGTTACAGGAAGAATGACTATAAATTACAATTTAATGCAATTCCAATTTAGAACTTTAGTAGTACTAGGTAGGGCTCAGGAACTTGCTACTATGGCCTTGTTTAGTTCTAAACTATTTATTTAAACTTCCAACTTTTCCATCACATTAAAACTTTTCTACACACACAAACTTCCAACTTTCTCGTCACATCGTTCAAATTTCAACCAAACTTCCAATTTTAACGTGAACTAAACACACCCATATATACTCATGCTTAAAGAAAGGGCATATTGGTACAACTACACTGGCATTGCAAGCCCCATGAGCTATACAATTTACTTTGCGTTCTGCACTTCCACTATAACAACCACAACATTTGTTGCGGAGTTCTCAAAGGATGTGAAATAATACTACTGTATGTGCTAAAGATGGTTTAAAGTAAAACTTGGGTAAAGTGGTATCTACTCCCTCCGTCTCAAAAAAAACAAATATATAATTAGATATGACATATTCTAGCATAATAAATCTAAATCTAGACAGAGATTTTCGTAGTACTATGATATATTACATTCAGTACTGGTCTTTTTTTTATGGGTCGGAGGTAGTAGATCATTCAATGACCATATGTCAGGGAGGAATATATCTTGAAAATACAAGGAAAATCGATCAATGTGCACAGTAATCAACTGGCTTCGTATACTGATAAAGCAGAGGAAATGAAAGTCCATACTTTTGAGTTCCTCGTACTGCTCCCTCATGAACAACGCCCCCTTCAGCCTAATCTGCGCCTCCTCGCTGTGGCACGTTTCCAGCGACCGCCGCAGCAGCAGGATCACCTGCTCGTAATCCGCGGCGCAGTCGGCGAGATGCTCCAGCGCCGACGCCTTCCACAACAGCGCCTCCGAGATCAGCTTGTTGCCGGAGCTGCCGGAGCCGAGCTCCTCGCCCCTCCTCAGCGCGTCGTTGCAGTCCCTCACGCACTCCTGGTACTGAAACGAACAGGGCGTTAATCAAGTCCGCGAGGGTTCCCTCGAAAAAAAAAATTAAATCCGCGAGGAACATCAATTTGGAAGAAATTTCATTATATGCTACTCAATTCACACTCGTTTCAGAATGTGCCACTCGATTCACGTTCCAGAGATGCCCATTTTGTGCCAAATCTCCCCCAAATCCCGGGGTAATCTCCATCTTAAACCAAACAAGGGATGGGAACTAAAAGATGTTACTAGTAAGTCCGTCGACTAATCCCACCGTCTAAACAACTCCCCTACCCTTTCCCTTGTCTTGTTCAATCAGGCCGGAAAGAAAAAGGAGTCTGACCTGTCCCAGGCCCGATAGGGCTTTGGCTCGCTTGATCAAGAAGGAGATGTCGCTGGGGTCGAGTTCGGCGCCGCGGGTGTAGTGCTTGATGGCCTTCCCGTAGCTCCCCTTGTTGTAGCAGGAGTCACCTTTCCTCTTCACACCTTGCACCTCCGCCTCCGCCGCACGCCACGGGTTGAAGCGTACGGGAGACATGGCTGGCTCACCGGACGGCGCAGGAGTCAACGACTAAGCTAGGGTTTGGAAGGATCGATCAATCGAACGGATGGTTGTGGTTGACTGGTTGTGAGAGTGAACGTTCGCAGCACACTATTTATAACCGGTGCGAACGATTCGTTCTTTCCCGAAGCTCGTCGAACGTTCGGAGCTTTGAGATTCGGACGGTACATTGTACATGAAGGGCCCGATAGAGCTTTCCCGAAGCTCGTCGAACGTTCGGGGCTTTGAGATTTGGACGGTACATTGTGAAGGTTTATTTGCTGGCGTCCACTGTTGCTCGTCTACTACTTGATTTCGCTCGTTGACTCGCCAAACTGGAGCCCAGCTTGTTGGGGGTGGCTGATCGGTTGCGCGCGGGGCTGCAGCCGGCAGCCGGCCAGCCGCGTTGTCGGTCCGCCCCCATCTAACCCATCAATACAATATACAGTACATACGTATATATACACATATGTATATGTATGATATATATTTATATAATTATTTTATACGTATACTAACAAAATTTTACTATATACATATACAAAGTTTCTATATATGTATATACAAATTTTGTGTACATGCATATATAAACTTTATATATTCATACGTATTAAAAATGGAAAAACCAATACGTATACAAACTTTATATACGTGCAGAAATATCGGAAAAACCAGAAAAAAAACGAGGGAAACCCGAAAAAAAACCGCGCCAGTCCTCTCACAAGTCTCAACACGTAGGGGTGGGCATTCAGTCTAACCGAAAATTTCGATCTCGGTTTCGGTCTTTCGGTCTTTTCGATCTTTGAAAAGTGAAGACCGAATTTCCGCGAAAAAATATCAGGACCGACAAATTCGGTCTCGGTCCTGACCGAAATTCAACAACATTTTCATATATGCAAAGAAATAATGGAAATTTTCAACACAAAAATCATAAAAAAAAAATTCGTAAGCACTTATAAGTAAAGACTCTTATTAGGTTAAATGCCTAGAAGAAGTAGGGATGTGAAAATTAAAGTTTAATCCTATTAGACATAGTGGATTGTAGGTTGTATTTTGACAATTTTTTTTGATAATTCGGTCTATTCGGTTACCCGAAGAGACTAACCAAATTGACCGAACAAATTTCGGTTTTTCGCTACCTAGGACCGAATTGATCACCGAATTTCTCGGTCTCGGTCTCGGTCTTTTTGGATCGGTATTTTTCTGCCCACCCCGTATCAACACGCGTCGCTCTGCCGTCCGGCTCTCCGCGCGATGCTACGTGGCCGCGCCTAGTAGCATTTTCGAGCTTGGTTGGTGGCGGCGGCTGCTGCTCCTGCAGCTGGGCCAGGAGCAGCCGACGGATACCTGTAGACCAGGTTTGATATTCCCTGTGTCTTTCACATTAGACAAAATTTGCTACAGGACTTAAAGATTGTGGTCTTTGCTGTGAGACACCCAAAGATCGTGTATTTGTTTGTAGACACGGTAAAAAAATGGTAATTAGCTACTGGACACTCCTCCCATTATTTTATTATTTTCGATGAAAACGGAGAGAGAAACTTAAGTTAAAGACAAGTTTGTCCATGGCCCACTTGTCAATCTCTCTTTCTCTGTTCTTCTTCGACAGCAACGCGAAGGTTTTGCCGGGGGGCGCGAGGCGCTCTACCTCGCTCTCTTACGGCCTCCTCGACCGCTTCCGCGAGGCACGGTGGGGGCCGTTCGACGGGGACCAGCTGCATCTGGCGGCGTCCATGGCAGGGAACGCCGCGGGCGACGGGACGGCTGTCCGCGCCGCGCCCAACGGCGGCTGCTGCGTCGCGCACGGCAGCGCTGTGCGCGTGTACAAATGAGCGATGGAGGAGCGGCGGCGACCTGCGCGTGTATAACTGCCTTCCCGGCGACCCGCGCCACCTCTTCCGCATCGCGCGTGTACAACTGGAGATGGCAGGCGCGAATCGGCCGCGTCTCGGGCAACAAGGGACATTCATTGAGTGTTCTTCTTCCTCCCCAATCTCTGCAACTGCACCATGATCCACTAGTAGTTATTCTTGTCCGGATTCTTCTCTACATGAATGGCCATATCATGCATCATGTGATCGATCAGCAATGAGCAGCAAAGTGTGTATGAGGTTGGCTTTGCAGAGGCTGTCACGGTTTAAGGATGCAGGGTGCATCCTGTCACAATGATCATAAGACCTCAGTCAGCTATAGGTGGCATCGGCGTCTGGGACTGCACCACCGGCGAGCAGGCCGACTTCTTCTACGAGCCGCCGGGCTGTGCACTCGGCGACGCCGACAAGCTCCAGTGGCTCGACGGCACGAGCACGCTCATGGCAGCGACCATGTTCCTACGGACAGACACCTCCTTCATCATCCTGCTGGACTTCCGGGACAAGAAGAACGTGGCCTGGTTGTGGTCCGACGTCGGCACGCCGGCGTCGCTGGAGGACAAGAACGTGCTACACGCCATCGCTATGGAGGACGGGCGGTGCGCGCGCCCCCTCTCCCCCGCTGCCGTGCCGCGCGCCGCTACTCTCCGCCGCCGAGCTCGCCATCGCGTCGGCCGTCTCTCTCCCTCTCTCCAGCGCCGCGCCCCCTGCTCCGCCGCCGGCCGCCTCACGCAAGTCTGCCACCACGCCTGCTCGAGAGAGGAGAGAAAGAAGAGAAAAAGAAAGGATGTGGGGCCTACACCGCCCCGCCGCCGCCTCGCCGTGGCTGAGCCGTCCAAGCTCGGGCCAGCCGCCGTCGCACACTCGCACCTCTGCTCTGCTGCAAGGAAGAAGAAGGGGAAAAAAAGATAGAGAGAGGAAGAACAGTGTCCAGGGGCATTTTGGTACTTACACAACTCTTTCTCTCTCCATCTTGACCGGAAATAATAAAATAATGGGAAGAATGTCCAGCAGCTAATTACCACTTTTTTACAGTGTTCACGAGCAAATACACGATCTTCGGGTGTCTCACAGCAAAGACCACAATCTTTGAGTGTCCTGTAGCAAATTTACCCTTCACATTAAGGCCTTGTTTGGCTAATGGGTTATGGAAATGATTTCCCTCCCACCAAAAGCCATCTTTAAATCTTAACCATTCATTCTCCCTCTTCCATTTAATCCTAACTCTTTATTTATATTTCAATCCCAATCCCACCTCTCATTTCCCATTATCCAAATACACCATAAGATCCTGTTAGGTCTGTAATCAGCCCAATACAGTTGTAAATTACTGGCCCGTATATTTTACGTCGAGTTTATTCATCATTAAAGCTTTGTTCTTTATCACCATTTTTCCAACTTGCCTTTCTCGTTTTTCACGCGCACGTTTTTTATAATGATATATAAAAAATTTTCTATATAAAAAATATTTTAAAAAATAATATTAATCTATCTTATAAAAAAAAATAATTAATATTTAATTAATCATGCAACAAAACGAGTTTTGTTTTGCGTGCCAGGAGGGAGGGGGTACCCCTAATGGGCGATTGATCGCCGTGGGGATGGGGTAGCGATCAGATTCGCTCCCCACTCCCTCCCTCCACCTGGTTTCCTTTTTTGGCATCGCATTACTTTCCTATTTTAGTAAATTTATACACCTAAAGTTTATGCACCTAAAGTTTACACATATAAAGTTTAGAGACCAAAAGTTTATAAGTCAAAAGTTTATATATCCGATTCAAAATTTAATTTGAATTCAAATATTTTTTATATATAGCATTTCTATACATATAAAGTTTATACACCTAAAGTTTATAGATCTAAAGTTTATAGACCTAAAGTTTATAAGTCAAAAGTTTATATACCCGTTTCAAATTTGAATTTGAATTCAAATATCCGATTCAAATTTGAATTTGAATTGAGATATTTTTCATATATAGTATTTCTATACATGTAAAGTTTATAGACCTAAAGTTTATATACCCGATTCAAATTTGAATTTTAATTATATCTGATTCAAATTTAAATTTGAATTCAAATATTTTCTATATATAGTATTTCTATACATCTAAAGTTTATAGATCCAAAGTTTATAAGTCAAAAGTTTACATACCCGATTCAAATTTGAATTTGAATTCAAATTTTTTATATATAGTATTTCTATACATAAATTTTTCTAACTTTTGTTTTTCAAAAAATTTTGTGTGGTCTACTGAAAGAGGAGAAGGAGATGAGGAAGGGGGAAGAGGGAGGAGTACATCTAGTAGTATAGGGGAGAGGGTGGGCGGGTGATCGCTAGGCGGGTGGGGGAGCGATCACCCGCCCATTAGCCTTTCCGGGGAGGGTTCCCTCCTTCCGAACACGGCGTAAAATCTTAAATCCTTAATTGATTTATAAAAATCGAATTAAATTAGATCTAGAAGCATACGATTGGTTTTGTTGACGTATAATAAGTTAGACACAGACCCGCACGAAGCAGACGGCGTGCAAGTCAGGGACTCGAGGAAGCAGCTGGCGACCAAGGCAACGTGCAAGTCAGCTCCGGCCACCGGCGGCGTGAAGAAGCCGCACCGCTTCAGGCCAGGCACCGTCGCGCTCCGTGAGATCCGCAAGTACCAGAAGAGCACGGAGCTGCTCATCCGCAAGCTCCCCTTCCAGCGCCTCGTCCGCGAGATCGCCCAGGACTTCAAGACCGACCTCCGCTTCCAGAGCTCCGCCGTCGCCGCGCTGCAGGAGGCCGCCGAGGCGTACCTCGTCGGGCTGTTCGAGGACACCAACCTGTGCGCCATCCACGCCAAGCGCGTCACCATCATGCCCAAGGACATCCAGCTCGCGCGCCGGATCCGCGGTGAGCGCGCCTGATTGATTTAGTCGCTTGGTCTGAGCTTACCAGAAAATTGCTAGGGAGTAGTAGTAATGTAACTTGTTGCAAACCTGCAATGCATGGCAGCACGGCTGTGAAGTGTTGAGCTGATTATGAATGAGAAATCGGTCTTCCATGTTCAAATCTATCCATTTGTTTTGCCTGTTTTTCATGAAAGATTTGAAATGAATGTGTGGAATGCCTTTCCGAGTTCAGAGAATCAGAGTCTGCAGGATTAAAGTGGCCTCGCTTTCTTACTGAATGATGCGTTAGTGTTACATATTGGCATCAATTGAGTTATGCGTGGAGAAGGCATTCTAAATTTGCATAGAGTATTTTCTTTTATAATTGAGCAAACATTTCAACTGGTCTACCAAGAGTCTGTAATAAATTATTACAAAATGGTCATAGTTTAATTCACACAAACTCAGTTTACAAATCCGAATCTGCATATTGAAAAGCTATATCATGGTTCGTTATTAAAGCATAGTTGTTCAGTTCGTTACTTAACACAAAAAACAGTTTTGGTGATGCTTGTAGCAGAGGTTAAAAGTAGCATCATATTGTGTTATTTGCGACACTCCTCAATAGCAGAACGCAGCGCCCGATTTGGAACGAGTTTCTTGTGTTCAAGTTCAACATTGGTAATTGGTGATGTGTTATGGCCTCTGCGGAACCAATCCCTGATAAACTTAGCTTCGTAGGTGTGTCCATCAGCTGCCATAAGAGGATCATTCATGACTTCCTGAAATTTTTTAACCACATAAATTATTGTGAGTCATCAGTCACAAAATGGGTGGGGATTCTCTGCAATATTACACCTGCAGTAACTAGTTATTGTCACTGCAGGAGCAATATTGCAGAGGATCTGTCTGCAAAAGTTATAAACAAACTAGTATGTATTTTATGGCACTTAGTATAGTTTTTTGAGGGTTTTTTTTTGGGGGCTTACATGAGATATAGGACAGGTGAAATGTTGAAGTATGCGGTTTTGGATCAATTGAAGCCGTTCAAAACGCTCTCTGCATTCTGAGAGTTCGCGTTCTAGATTTGCATTCCGCTCATTGGCTGACCTAAGTTGTTCAACTTGGCTTGACAATGTCTTGACCTGCACAAACAAAACACCTGTCATTCATAGGGAGTGTCATTTAGATTATGGGTGTAGTCAATAGCTTGTGACATCCTATATTTCTTTAGGGAAAAAGTCTGATATTTCCTTAGGCAATTTGCAGTATATAAGTGGCAGTGGTCTGCTCCAAGATCACCCATTTCTTGGAACACCAAGATCAAGGGGTTATTGTGTCTATTTGTCAATTGACTATTTTTTCCAACAGTAGGACAATATCCAATTACTCATATTTATGTTTTTTTTCTTTTTGTGAGACAAACAATATTCTAACTTAAACTTACAAAATCTAACTCCTATGTTATGCAAGTTTAGTTTATTATTTGCGCAAGTCTAGTTTGCACCTTATCTTAGTGTAGGTGACAAACAGTTAGGAAAAATTCAAGCAACTGATAAATTGCAAAGCTGCAAAATTAAATAAATGTGAATGTTGTTATGCACCCTATAGAATCAAACTTTTCACAACAACAAACGATTGTATGATGATATATTTCCGATCAAGCTACTTTGCAGACATAAATGATTAATATATAACACTTAGTAAAACAGTAATAAATTTACCAGCTTTTCAGATTTCATCCGCCTTGAGCGCTCCTTGGATGCTTTGTTCTCACCTTCGTTCAGTTGTTTATGCAGACATTCTATTTCTCTTTGGTGCTGAAAGTATGTAAGATATCCATTAGTTTGCTGATAAAGTAGAATATGTTAGAAGGTATGTGCCTCCCAATTATTTGAAGATCCCTAATGTAAAGATTTTAAACTGATTTGATTAGACAAAAGGTGTAGTAAAGTAAGAATCTTTTTGTCATTGAGAGCTATAGATAGGCATATATACCTCATAGTGTTAGATAGAACCTAACTAACACAAAATAACTATATTTTCATATATTGTAGAAAAACTCAGGAACATAGATAATCTCTCACTTGTAAGATTAGTTTCGGTACATCCTTTTGTGGAGAGTATCTCTCAAGTAATGAAGAGGTATATAACTCCCAAAATAAGAGAACCTTGTGAGCATACGAACATATGGCTATATTGACCGGTTATTACTACCACACATGCAAGACATATCCTTTTCATTGTGAAAAACAAAACAAATTACCATGGAAGACCTGTTAAAAGAAAGACTTGACGGATCAATACCTTCGTCAAGTCCTTTGCTATGGCATCACTGTCTTTAGCCATTTTAATGCGTGCTGCACATCTAAACCAGAGAAGATGTTACCTCAAATAATAATAACAAAAGCAAACAATATGGGTAACAGAGGATTGGAAAGTTACTCTCTTAGGCTGTTATGAATACTGAGATTTTGTGGGTCATGCTTCAAACCGTCTACGAGAGTTGCAATAGCATCCTCATATTTGGCCATCGCAATCTGAACCAGACCTTTACGGAGATATCCCATCCCTAAAGTATCATCCAGCTCAATGCATCGATTTGCATCTTCAAGCGCCTTAGGCAATGAATTTAGCTCGACAAGGCATCGAGCTCTGTCACTGAAGTTCTGGGTGATCATATCGGTCATGAAAAGATGAATGCCAAAATTAAAAAGGAGCAGCTGGAGACATATCTTTCACCAATTAAAGAACAAAATTTCATTAGACTTGTTATACAACTAGTGTAGTGGTATCAATTACATACCTTGGGATACCTTGGGTTCCTTTTTATAGCTTCAGAAAACTGCATTTCTGCTTCCTTATACTTTTTCTTACGGAGAAGTTCTAGGCCTGCAAGGTGTGTATACATTCAGATTCAGTATGAGCATCTGTACATCTCAATGGAATGTCAATTTAGCATTTTTACTAGTACTAGGAGCTGGTTATATCATGCTTAAAGAATGGACGTAGACTACTACACAGTCTGTAAACAGCACAGGTCCCATATATCTCCCATATATCCAGCTCACTTTGATATAGTTGCGGTGGTGAAGATATACCTATGTATTCTTTTTTTTTTTTTGGAGAACACCTATGTGTGTGTTTTAGCAATGCACTACAGTTTTTTTCCCCCGCTGGGATGGCGGAAGAATGCCGACCGATTATAGTAAGATGTGGAGAAAGCATTACATTTTACAATTTTACATGAATCAACAACAGGATCGTTGAGGAGAAAGAAGCATTGGCGCAAAGCGCTACACACTACACCAAACACTCACAGAAGAGCACAACAGACAGATGGGAGCAGGACAGCTGCTCTGCTTATGGAGTAGTAACTCACTACCGGTGACTACAAATCCGTGCATGTGCGATGGCAAGTACTCCATAGCAGTGTGTGCGCGTGATTCTTCCACATAGATGGGTACCTGATCCTATTGTGGACTCGACTGAATCAACATCAACAACGTCAGATGATTTTTTGAAACTGAACAACGTCAGTGATCGGTACAGAGTAAATTGATCGATGTTCACAATTACATACGATGTGTTGATCGATGTGCACAATTACATACTGTGTGTTGATCGATGTGCACAATTACATATTTAAATATATATGGTGTGTGTGATTAGGGATGAATTTAGTGGTTGTTCGTCAAGAGGGGAAGAGGAAGAAATAAAAATGTCACAAACCTCTGTCTCGGTGGGTCTTGGCAGCTTCCTGATCGAGCCGCTCCTGCTCCGCAAACGCGTCCCTGTTCCTCTTCGCCATGTCCAGCTTAGCCCGCGTCTCCTTGCTGCCGGGGCGCAGCTCCAGCGACCCCTCCAGCGCCGTGATCGCCGGCTCGTGATCCGCGGCGCAGACGGCGAGGTTGAGCAGCGCCAGCGCCTTGAGGAACAGCGCGTCGGCGGCCAGCTTCTCGTCGCAGCCGCAGCGCGCGTCCCTCCTCCTCCTCCTCCCCAACGCCTCGTCGCAGTCCGCCACGCACTCCTTGCACTGAAACGCGCCGGCGGCGAGCGGCGAGGTGAATCGGAGCGGTTTTCTCCGCGGAATTGCGTGTGGGATTGGAAGTGAACTGACCTTGTTCATGCTGAAGTTGGCTGCGGCGCGTTTGATGAGGCAGGAGGTGTCGCCGGGGTCGAGGTCGGCGGCGGCGGCATAGTGGGCGGCGGCCCTCTTGTACAGCTCCTCGCCGTACGCCTCGTCGCCGGCCTCCTTCTCGCGCTGCGCCGCCTCCTTCCGCTCCTTCGCCCCCATCGCGCGCCCGCCGCCGCCGCCGCCGCGGGAGACGACGGGAGCCATGGATGGATGGATGGAGGCCAAAGGGCAGCGTACAAACTCTTTGGCTCTTCAGGGATGATTAGCAGATAAGCTCGACCGACGTAGCTTCACCTCTAATTAATCAGGCCATTAGGGGCATAATGACCTCATTTTCTTTCTTGACCGACTTAAGTCTCCAACCGACCAACCCTCCACTACAGCATGCAGCTGGGCTTACAAAAAAATGTCTATTAATATTAAGGAGTTTCAAAACGCGTTCAGCATGTAGTCAAAAGAATTCCTGCAAGTTAATATGTGTGCTTTCTCCATAACCATGTACTAGTTGCTATTTCCACTACATGAAAAAATGTTACAAATTCATGGCGAGATTTCAAAAAGGAACCTAGTATTTCTTTTTATAAAAAAAATCCATTCCAAATTCATGGCGAGATTTCAAAAGGAAAGTTATTTGTGCATTTCGGCACACCCAAATATGTTTGTAATAACTGAAAAATATTGTGAAAATAATACTCGGTGTTATCATTAACCAAGTACAGTATGACCAATTTTCAGGAAATTTAACGGCGGTTTTATTTCCATACGGCCTTAAGCGATGAGTGGCAGCGTACGGTATGAATTGAGAAAAATGGCCGGGCCAGCAATACTTTCCCATCCAGGCGTCTGGAAAAGCCCAAGCTCCCGGGGCTTCACATGGATGGGCCTGATAATTAGTTAAATTTTCCGGCCCATACATAGGATAGGCCCATGCGAGGAAGATGAGATGATGCATCATGATCTGAGGAGAGATGGGCCTATGGGTTGAGGGCCTGGGCCTTCTTGCGAAGCAGGCCAGTCTTCAGATGCTTAGGTTTTGCATACAGCCCTACAGAGTTTCAACTTTGGCGCTGTTTCAAATGCAGAAATTTTAAACGAAATTTAAAATGCAATTTTTTTAATAGGATTGGATTTTTTTTGCCGCGCGGAACCAGCGCCGTACGATTGCGTTCGAATCGACGGTGCAGATTTGATCTCGGGGGCAGAACGCGGATCGCGATCCGTGGGAGCATGAGCTCTGCACTGTGATTGGTTGGAGCAGCTGCGCGCGGATCGCATTCGCATCCCGCGCGGGGCCGCGCCTCCCCAAAATTCCAAACCCAAAATTTCGCCCAAATTTCGAACATTTCCACTGCGCGCGAATGCGAATGAGCGAATCCCTCCCAAATTTCACGCCTATTTAAACACCGCGAATTCCCCCCCTCTCAATCCACCACCGCCAAGTCTCAAATCCAAAGAAATCACTCGCCGCCGCCGCCTCGCCTTCTCCGCCGCGCCAAGCTCTCCTCTCCTCCTCCTCGATGGCCCGCACGAAGCAGACGGCGCGCAAGTCCACCGGCGGGAAGGCGCCGAGGAAGCAGCTGGCGACCAAGGCGGCGCGCAAGTCGGCCCCGGCCACCGGCGGCGTGAAGAAGCCCCACCGCTTCAGGCCCGGCACCGTCGCGCTCCGTGAGATCCGCAAGTACCAGAAGAGCACGGAGCTGCTCATCCGCAAGCTCCCCTTCCAGCGCCTCGTCCGCGAGATCGCCCAGGACTTCAAGACCGACCTCCGCTTCCAGAGCTCCGCCGTCGCCGCGCTGCAGGAGGCCGCCGAGGCGTACCTCGTCGGGCTGTTCGAGGACACCAACCTGTGTGCCATCCACGCCAAGCGCGTCACCATCATGCCCAAGGACATCCAGCTCGCGCGCCGGATCCGCGGCGAGCGCGCTTAGGCGATCCGCCCTCCTTTGGTTCTTGCTTGGTTCGTAGGGACTTGTCATGTTCTACCAGTTCTTGTTAATTATTAGATCCTTGCCTTGTCATGTCGTAGTCTTTGATTCTTAGTTGCAATGTAACCGCTGGTTATTCTGAAATTGCAACCGAAGTAATCTGTTTTATCCCCAAATTTCTGTCCATATTTGTCTGAACTGATTGCAATTTGAGTGGATGATCAGGTCTGGCTCCATGCGATAAATTCATCTTATCCTACACTTGTTCTGTTTTGTTTGATGTTCAGAAATCAGAATGGTTCTGAAATTATTCCATTATGCATTTGTCCCTAGATTTGTAGTTTTCACTAAAAAGTACTGAATAAATTGCAATTCAAGTCTGTAGTGTCTTGTATCTGTACCATAGTGCTAAAAAAAAATACTGGAGCATCCATGCTATTTTCATCATGTCTTTTTTTTCCCCAGAAGACATTCTTTCTTGCCATATTCTGGTTTCTGCATCCATTCTATTCATCTGGGTTGAAATTGTAAGCCCCGTCGCCGTGTCCGTCAGTCCTGTACTTCAGCCCAGAAACCATGGTCAATCAGTTATGTTGACTACAAGCAAGATTGAGGTGGTGTCTAGATCCAGGGGCTTAACTTTAGTCCCTGTCTTTAAACACTAATTTAGAGTATTAAATATAGACTACTTACAAAACTAATTACATAAATAAAAGCTAATTCACGAGACAAAATTTTTAAGCCTAATTAATCTATAATTAGAGAATGTTTACTGTAGCATCACATAGGCTAATCATGGATTAATTAGGCTCATTAGATTCGTCTCGCAAATTAGTCTAAGATTATGGATGGGTTTTATTAATAGTCTACGTTTAATATTTATAATTAATTTTCAAACATCCGATGTGATAGGGACTTAAAAGTTTTAGTCCCATCTAAACAGGGCCTGATTCATGTAATATTTGAAACTACATGAACTAGAGAGCATACTATTTGCATCTAACAATATATGTATGAATTTCATACATAATATATAATTTTAAGTCTATTGTTTAACTTTATAACAGTTAATTTATTCATTTGTATACCCTCCAATAAATATCATTCATCTATTTAGCCATCCAACACAAGTGAGACATACAGAAGTACATATAACAAGAATAATATCTGAAATACGATGTCACATAACTTAGTACTAAATCTTAATGATGGTTCTTTACAAAATGTGGATTGCGATCTAGCCATGTCGCGGCAAGCACTCTCTCTGTAGCAAGGATCAAAACTGCGGCTAAATTTTCATAGTTACAACTTGCTTCACACAAATTCACAAAAAAAGCTGTTGGCGCCGCGGAGAAGTATGCCTCATGTTTCGGTGTTGGTGCCACTCCCGAATAGCAGAGCGCAGTGCGTGATTGGGAGTGAGTTTTTTATGTTGAAGTCGCTCGTTGGTCATTGGAGATGTGTCATGTCCATCGTTGAGCCATTTCCTGATATGCTCAGCTTCATAGGTGTGTCCATCCGCTGCAAAGTGAGGATCATTCATGACTTCCTGGAATTTTGACCACGTATGTAAGTAATGTTATGGTCAGTCATTGGACAATGGTACAAAGATTATACTCTTACAGTAGCCAGTGTTTTTCAGGGGGAAAAAAAGTATTACCAGCATGAACCAAGAAAATTGAAATATCGTTTTCCGCTCACCTGAGATATAGGACAGATGAAATGTGGAGGTTCACTGTTTTGGATCGACAGAAGCCGTTCAATACGGCCTATCTGTTCTGAGAGTTGCAGTTCTAGATTAGCGTTACGCTCCTTGGCTGACTTAAGCTCCACAGTGACGACATCGCGCTGCATCGTAAGTTTTTCGACTTGGCTAGAACTCGATTTTTTGAATGCCTGCACAAACCAAACACCCTCATTCAAATAATTCAGATAGATACCTTTGATTTATGGGTGTATTTAATAGCTTGCAACATCCCATACTTTCGAATAGGGAAAAGAATGTCAAAAAGTATTATCATATGACAAGGGAATGTTGGTTTCAATGAAGATTCTGCTTTGGTGGCTGGGAGTAAGCAAATTGGTACTAAATACAGTGGCATTGGTCTGTTCCAAGATTGCAAATAGCAAGCTTAGCAGCAGCAGCAAGAGTAAATGGATGTTGAATGTTGTCTTGCATCCTATATTCTATGCAATCTAACTTTTGACAACAAGAAATGATTGGATGATGATCTTTCCTGTCAATTACAAAAGTACATATATCTTGACTAACAGTCGGTACCAATATCTCTCAATGATCGTAGAAAATCTCAAGAGCAGATACAATTATACAAATGAATTGTCAATCCTACTCCCACTTGTGGAACTAGTTTTGGTATCTAAGGAATCTCTCAAGTTATGAGGAGCAGTATCGGTATTACACAGATATGTGACCCTTTTGACTCAGTTTTACTATACTAGAATTGACCACACATGCAAGACATATTCCTTTCTGTCTGAAAAAGCAACAGGTTATCATGGAAGACTTGTTAAAAGAAAGAAAGTAAATGGGTCAATACCTCCCACAAGTCCTTATCCCTGACATCACGGTCCTTAGCCATTTTAATTTGTTCTAAACATCTAAACCGGACAAAATGTTACTTCAGATAATCAAAATAAGATCACTAAAGATAACAGAGGACTGGGAATGTACCTCTTTATTCCATCATAAATTGTTGTTTTTTGGGGGCCATATTTCAAACCGTCTAGGTAAGTTGTCATAGCATCTTCATAATTGTGCATCAAGAACTGAACTTCACCTTTACAAAAATATCCCTTCCAAAAAGTAGGATCTACCTCAATGCATTTATCTGCATCTTCAAGCCCTTCAGCCAATGCATTTAGCTCGATGCGGCATTTAGCTCTGTCGCTAAAATTCTGGGTGATCAATCATAAAAGGGCATAAAAAATGAATGCCAAAACTTAAAAAGGAGTAGCTCGAGACATATCTTTCACCAAAGAACAAAATATCTTTCGACTCACAACCAGTAGCGGTATCAATACTTACTCTGGGATTCAATGGATTCCTTTTTATGGCTTTAGTAAACTGGATTGCTGCTTCCTTGTACTTTTTCTTACTGAGAAGTTCTTTGCCTGCAATATGTGTACATACTCAGCAGCGGCATTTGTACATCTCAATGAGATGGCAATTATCATTTTACTAGTACTAGTTAGGAGCTGGTTATATCATGCTTAAAGAAAGGATGTAGACAAATAGTCCTACAATACAAGCCCCATCCAGATATTCAGCTTACTTTGAGTTACTCTACTTCCACTGTAACAACCAGAACACTTGTTGCAAAGTACAAGTTCTAGAGGAAGTACACGGCCTTAACCTCTATCCCCAGGATGCCACAGATGCCATATGATGAGGTGGAGGAAAGAAGGGAGTAGAGAAAGGAGGAGCCTGTGAGCCACCCTTATGCAAGAGGTAACATGTACACAAACTTCCAGAGAAAGAAAAGATAAAGAGTAAATCGAGAGCAAATGAATAAAATAAAATTAGCATTGGGAACCAGTATGTTAGAGCTAGTGTATTGTATATGTTGCCTCACAATTGATGAGTAGATGATGTGGAAAAAGTTAAGAGGTAACAATCACTTCTACTATTAAACTTGCTCTAAGCCTCTAAGGCTGTAACCCAGCCAACATGACATCCCTATCCACATTATCTGGTCTGTTGGCAAGTTGGTTGCTAAAAGGTGATTTTAATGCTTACTATTACAAATATCACTTAAAACATGGTGTTCTTAACAAAGCACTAGAGGTATGTTGTTTTCTGTAATTAACTCGTAATAATTATGTTTGTCCTTGCAAATATCAAGTTAAATCACAGAATTAACTTCCTAGAACTTTAGAACACTTGACACTTAACAAAGGACAAGCGATCCTACATGCATGGCTACATGAGTAGAAGGTATCTGATCCAATTGCGGATGTCAACTGAACTAACACCAACAGCAACAAACGATCAGTACAAAGCAATCAATCGCTGTGCACAGTTCAGATGGATCAGATTGTTGTTGGTGGTGGTGCTGAGAACTTAAACTGAAAATGATTTTTCAGTTTGGTATGTCATGGGATTGAATTGGGTTAAGACTGTATATATTCTTTTGTGATCTATTTATTTTTCATGAGCTGAAGTCTGAAGATTCCCAAACCCTCTTCTTTCCCCCAAGGTCCAAGCAGCCTCTAAAAACATTCCAAACAAGGAATCAAACAATTTTTTTTTACCCATTTGCACTCCTCATTTCCCCATAATCCAAAACCTCACATTAAACTGTACTCCTGTCTCCTGATCAACGATTATGCTTCTTCCTCAAGAGGAGAAAAGAGAGAGAGAGAGTCCAAACCTTTTTCTCGGTGGTGCTTGGCAGCTTCCTTCTCCAGCTCCTCCATCTCCTCCATGGCGCTCTCCGCCTCGTCCAGGATAGCCTCTGTCCCCTTATGATAATGCTCATCCAGCGACTGCTTCAGTGCCCTGATCGCCGCCTTGCAATCCGAAGCGCAGTCGGCGAGATTGAGCAGCGCTGTCCCCTTCAACAACAGCGCCAGCGCCACCAGCGATTTCTTGGCGCGGAGCTCCCTTCCCCTCTCCACCGCCTCGTCGCATCGCCTCACGCACTCCTCGTACTGCAGCGAACAAGGTAAATGCTAAGTAGTAGCAAATTGGGGATGGATTGGATTGGATTGGGCGAGACGAGGATGGCTGACCTGGTCCATGTGGAAGTAGGATTTGGCGCACTTGATCGGGAAGGAGATGTCGCCGGGGTCGAGGGCGGCGGCGCGGGCGTAGTGCTCGACGGCGCGCTTGTAGCGGCCCTCGTCGAAGTCGTCGTCGCCGGCCTCCTTCTCTCGAAGCGCCTTCTCCTTCTTCCTCCTCATCTGCTCGTTCGCCTCCGTCGCACCACGCCGGTGGGAGTGGGCGGGAGCCATGGTGGAGTAGATGTGTTGCACGCCGGCGGGGAGTCGACGGCGACGGCGGCGGCGGGGTCCGGCGGTGAGGGGTGGGGCCCACAGCAACGGTCGACTCTGAGGGCGATCAGACGGCGGAGGGAAGAGGAGGCGGGGAGTCAACCAGTCAAAGCACTGAAAAAGCCGCGACCGACGTGGAAAAAAGATCGATAGTAGAGGGAAAGGATTACTGGGAACATCGGACACGTTGTAAGTATTGAATGTCAGTATATATATGGATTAGATTTTAAGTAACTTTAGAGATAGAGATGAAAATTAATCTTATCCTACCATAACATAACAAATCGGATATAATACAATACTATCCATCTAATCTAATACTTTTCATACTATCCATCTAATCTAATACTTTTCGTTTGACAAAGCTCCAACTCTAGTTCCACCTCTATAGAGTCAAAGCCCAACCAAATCGATTTTAGAGTGAAACTGGTTAGAGCGCTCTCACAGATAATCTAGAGCCTCCAAAGTACCTATAGAATTACCCATTAGATAGGAATTTTAAATATAGGATATGATTTGATCCTTTGTTTCAAATGTTTTCGTAGATTTTTTTTTCATAGAAATAAAATCCTCCTAAATTTCTATATTTTTCATACAAATCAAATGGTCTTAATCTCTTCATTCCCAATTGATCATCTTATATATTTTTTTAAATAATCATCATATTATTCATTCTATAAATCTATATATAAGACCTAATATCAAATAATTAGAATGAGTGAGGCTTTAAACCTAAGCTAGCTAGTCCACCACTTTATGGAGCTAGCCAGAAAACCCTGACGTTTCTCAAACTACCGGGATCCATCCCAAAGTTTTTTTTCAACCTAACTTGGTATGCCAAAGAAACATTGTCTCATTTGGAGCTTGGATTATTGTGGGAATAAATCAACCTGCTCTGTAATACGAATTTCACGTTTCTTTGTGAGATTCTCTATGAATTTCAGGGGGGGGGGATGCGAATTCGGGATGTTTTTTAGTTGCCACTAGTCTAAGAGCACCAAAAATTGGAAATGGCTTCAAAAATGCCAGGCCGGCAACACTTGGGCTGCATCATGGTCAGGCCTCGTTTGGAAAGCCCAATTTCCGGTCCATCCATTTTGGAACCTGGGACCATACACGACAATGGGCCGGAATGTGGGCTTTTTATACGGGCCTTCATGTGATGCATCATCCGAGGCGAGATGGGTCAGTGGGCTGGCCTTTCCTGCATTTCGGCGCAGTCATGTGATGCTTTTGGTTTGCCGGAGTTGCTGCTTGCATTGCGGTACAGTTGTTTCAACTTTGAAGCCCTTTCAATTTTCAAATGCAATTAACTTTGGGATCACCTATACATTTGTCGATAAATTTTCTCCTAAAAATTTGATAGATGTAATTATAGTACAATTGCAGTGTAATCACACTGTAACTTACATGTGACTACTGTGTAACTTGTATGTAAGTTTCACGTAATTTTGAATCGTTAGATCTATTATAAGATATGTTCTGGTAAGGAAGAAAAAAACACAGTACACACATATGTGAGAGGATTTGTTCCCACGACCTTCATTTTACCGAAATAACATGTTATAGAGAGATTTTTGAAAGTTACATACAAGTTACATTATAGTTACAGTGTAATTACATGCAAGTTATAGTGTAATTACACTACGATTGTACTGTAATTACATCTGTCAAATTTTTAGGAGAAAATTTATCGACAAATATATAGAAAATTGTTAACGTTTCAGGATAACCTCAATTCCTACAAGGATCAGTAAAAATTGCCGTGTTTCAAAGGAGGCTTGAATGTGCGAAGTCTCTTTCTTTCTTTCTTTCTAAGAACAAGTAAGACTGTGTTCGGAGGTGTGTGTTGGGAACCCATCTTCCATGCACAGAAAACAGAGCGATTCATTAGTACGTGATTAATTAAGTATGAGCTATTTTTTTAAAAAAATAGATCAATATGATTTTTTTGAAGCAATTTTTGTATATAAACTTTTTTTAAAAAATGTACCGTTTACCAATTTAAAAAGCGTGTGCGCGAAAAACGAGAGGGGAGAGTTTGGAAAACAGAGTTCCGAACACAGTCTCATTTGCATTACTTGTTCTGATGTTCCACTCATTCATACAAAATTTAGAAATTCAAATGAAATTTACATGAAGTCAAGAACCTAGACCTAGGGCTGCCCTAGGCCTGAATCCTTCCCTGTCTGAGAATATTTATGATGGAGATTTACACGTCATTTCATCGTGCAAAAAGAAATCCATTAAAGGCGACCAAGAACGATTGATTCCTACGTATTTCTCGAAAAGTAATATATAAGAAACCTAAAGAAAGTGACAAGAAAAGCAAGAAACAAATACTCAACCCCACAATGGCTTTGAATAAGGCCAATGGAAACATGAAAACGACCAAGATACCAATCATTCCAACCATTTAGTCGTCGTGGACATCTAAAAAAAAAGTGAAAAAAAAAGAAGAATGCAGATAATCTTGAGGTCCTCTCTGCTCTCTGCATGACAATACAATTTCTGGCGTGTTCTTTTCGGTCAATAAGTGTTGGATGATTAGCTGCAAGCACAACCACAAACATTATTAGCGTACGATTAATTAATTACAAATTATAAAAAAATGAAAATAAATTTGTTTATTTAAAAGCATCTTTTTATGTCTTTATAAGAAATATATCGTTTAACTGCTTGAAAAGCGTGCTAACTAAAAATAAAAAGCAGCTAAGCTTAATTAAGCGTGCCAAAATCCAAATCCTCGTCTAATTCATTTCACATTGCAAACTTTGATTTGTGCTAGTATTACACGAGTGACCCAAAAGTTATTTTTTTTACAGGAGTATCTGCTTGACGTTGCATGGACCCAACGGTCCAATGATAATGAGCCAGCATTTTCCGTGATATTTCTATCCGGACCTGAAGAAGTCTGAAACTGCAGGTGTGTTTAGTTCCACGTTAAAATTAAAAGTTTAAAGAAAATTAAAATAATATGACGGAAAAGTTGAAAGTTTGTGTGTGTAGAAAAGTTCGATGTGATTTTTTTTCAAACTTTGCAACTAAACACGGCCTGCGAACTCATGGTGTCAAACTGCCGGCAAGTCTATTTCATTCAGTGTCTTTTTTTTCCCAGAGTTCTTCTGATCCGTAGTAGTCTAGTAGACTGTAGTGAACTACTCCCTCGGTCCAAAAGTCTAAACGCGATGAGTTCTCGTTCTTGTTGACGGTTGATGACACACTCCCTACTAGAAAATAAAAAAATGACAAGTTTATTGTATATATATAGATCTAATATATTGATGTGTAATGCTTTTACGCGTTCGCGAAAAAATTAATATATATGGAGATGCAAAAAAAATTGAGGATTAAGGTGGCTCAACACACCAACGAGAATGTCGTGGATAGCAACACGCAAGATGGGAGACGATACCTGATGATGAGATGACTCATGATTGGTGGAAGCGGCAGAGGACTCACCTGAGAGCGGTAACCTCGCTGAAGACGTGGATGACCACAATGAAACCACCAACAGAGGTGGCAGAGGATTCACCTGAGTGAGGACAGCGGACAGCCTCGCGGAATATATCGATGGCTTTGGGGGTGGGGAATAGATGAGGGAGGGTTAGAGCGTGTAGCCATCGAAGAAAAGAGGCAGGGCAATGGAGTGTCGTTTTTCCCGCTATGGCTCTAAAGGGGAAATGCTACTCCTTCCGTCTCATAGTATAGAAACTTAGGACCGGATGGAACACTTAATAGTACAACGAATCTGGACAGGAAGCATGTCTAGATTCGTTGTACTATGAAGGGTCTCGTCCGGTACTAGATTGCTATATTATGGGATGGAGGGAGTAGGATGGCAACGGGTGCATATCCATCGGATTCCCTTGCCCCATACCCACACCCGCGACGTCTAAATATTCCCACTTAAATACCCACACCCATCACGGGTAGAAAATCTTCTCCATACCCACACCTGTGCGGGTAACGGGTATCCAACGGGTACCCATACCCATATAGTTGACTTGTAGCATTTATAGTTTTGTACTATAATTAGCCATATTAGAGTTGTAAACCATCAATATTTTCTCTAGCAACAATCTATTAACATTAGCGTTCAAAGTTCAAAGGTAAGTAAAAAAATTATACAGCCACATTACATAATCAAGAGATCAAGTAATAATTTCATATAACTAGAATGGAACAATGCTTAAGATGTGAAAAGAGTTTCATACTATGATTTAGTAGTCGTTGAAACTTATATTGCTTATAGTTTTAGGCTCAATCAACGGTTTTTTTTCACCCACGGGTTGGTGGGTATGGGTGGGTAAAGAACGGACCCATACCCACGTACCCAACAGGTAAGAGTTTTGCCCATTAGTATACCCATGGGTACAAGAGTTAGAACACAATTAGCTTCTAATAGAGTAAAAACCTGTCGGGTCACGGGTTATGGGTCCCCGTTGCCATCTCTAGGAGGGACTATTCAGCGAAGTTCGTATGAATGAACTTGTGGGATGTCAAACTTTATGTCCTTAATTTTGTCCCATGTTTTTTTCTACTGCGTATTTTGTTACACTTTTATTTTCTTTTACGAAATTAGCACACTGTTAGAATAGTGGATATGGTGGACTTTGAATTCCAAGTGGTAGACTATTGAGCAGGCAAGACACATGGGTCTCACGGGCCCACAAGGGTGTTTTGTTCCTTTTTAAAAAAAAAAGTTTGTCCAATATGTTTCAAATTTATTTTTTACAGGAAGTTTTTCAATGGAATGTTTATGCGCACGTACAAAGTATGTATAAAGTTTCTACATATAAAATTATCATGGATGCAATTTTCATGTATAAGCTTTTTTTTTTAAGGAAAGCACTGTAGGGGAAGCCCCCACAGTAAAATAACTTTATTGATGAACAAAAATTACAAACGATGTATAAGCTTTATTTTGGAAACACATTGTTTGTTGTGCTTGGAAAAGGCTTGAGAAGAAAAATAACGCTACATCGTACGTTAGTTTTGATGCGAAAAGGCAGATAACACATGAGCATGAGCTATTCCCGAGCCCTACTCCGTTAATTGGGCCCAAGCGGAGAAGGGAAAGAGATGAGACTGGAGGCATAAGTCAGCATTTTAGCAATGATGGACATATGCATCATATTCATACCTCCTACTTGAAAGGCATGTAAG